TCTCCTCTTTGACAACATTAAGCAAGGCTTTGAGAAACCCTTGGTCCTTACCAGGGATCAGAGAAGTGGGTCTCCCGTGGTTGGAGCCTGCCGTCGGGCTGTCCAGTCTGCTCCGGAGGGGGCTACGTTTGGGGCTCCTGCGGGGTCCCAGGGGCCCGACAGGACCGTTCCTCTGTGGAGACACGACAGACGACTCGGACCTCCCACAGTCATCCTCATCCAGCAGAGAGGAGCAGTCTGGATCTCCAACACCGAGAGACGACACGCTCAGATGGTCGCTGTGACCGTCCTGGATGGACAGAGGAGAACCAGGAAGGTGAATGTCACTAAGATCTGAACAAGAGTCTAATCTTAAAATTATAACAGAACCAGCACAAACTCTCTCTCTGGCCACTGATTAGTTGACAAGTTTTTAGCTTGTTAAAATGTCCTTATGATGCTTTTTACATGGTAGAAAACACATCATGAGAAAACTAAGCAGTTAAATCCACAGCTGAGTATTTTCACCCTGAAACTCAAGAAACACTAATTCCGACTTCCAGGGTTTCATACATAACAAATCAAAGGAACCAATCCTGTCAACTTGCAGGGTACCATATATCGTCTAGTAGTTTGACAGTGTTTGTGCAGAGTCGTAGGTGAGCTGGTGAGCTTGAGCTGCAACGAATGAGGAGGGGTGGGTGGAGAAAGAGGTAGGGACTGCACGTTCTAGAATAAATTCTTAAAAAAGGAAAAAACTTAGAAATGTGTAACTTGGACACACTGAGATGAGCTTTTAGGGCTTTAATCAGTGATTGGAGAGAGACCCTGAACCCCTAAAAACTAATGTTGACTCATACAGTGACTTCAAGCATAAAAAAACACCATATGGACATGTAAGCTAGTAAAAAACTAGATTTTCACCAGGGGAGGCCTTTAAGAGGCAACAATGCTCCTGAGACACTAATTGTTTTTTATTTTTTTCCTAAGTCAACAAATGCACAAATAGAAATAGAAATAGAAAATAGAAATACGACATATGAACACTGGATGGATCCAGTATTTCTGAGCATATAAAATTCTGCATCAACACAAACTGTGCTGCCGATGGAGGAGTTCACACGTTGTCATGTTGTCAGATCTCCAAACTACAGTTTACAAATGTCCCAGCACAAAACAAGATCTGGCAGCAGGTTGATTTCACACATTTTGCAGATGACAGAAGGAGAATTCTGGCAGCGACTGTGGATTACTGATTTAAGAGGGACAAAAAACAGCTGAAGCTGCATTCTGTCTGTGTGATACAACTAGATTTTTCCATTGTTGTTGTTTGTTTTCCACAGTTGTGAACAGGAACACCTCGAGCACAGCAGATTTGATCAATGTAGTTGGTTCGTGGAGGTTTTGACACAGAAAAATACTGTTAGACACTCAAACAACCACAAGATGGCAGCAAAACTCAAACTGTGTGCTCATCGTAAATTAAGCTAGAGGTTGATGCTGTATGACAGTGAGGCAGACGTGTTGTAGTGTTAAAACACAATCACACAAGTGGTTATGAAGGTGTTAGCCAAAACCACAAATCCTATTTACATTGTTTTAATAAAGAAAAACAGACTAAGACGTTGTTTTTCAATTAAAACTATACAAAATAGGTTTAGAATTAGGTCATTAGAATCCATACAACCTACTTGGAGTTTTGTTCCTTATTAAAAGAGAACACAACAGCAAGATTAGCATCCCACACTCACTAAGCAATTAGGATTTAATGTAAACGATCACGCTGGCACCTAAAAACAGGTTCATAGGCCAGAACAGGTTGAGAATGTTTCTTCATAAAGTGAACAGAATCAATCAGAGCGACTGAATCGTGGTTGCAAGTTGGCACAGTTTCATAAAAAGTACAACAAATCTAAATCAACCCATAGCAACACTGCATGTGTTCACTAGGGTGTAAGCAGCGGCACAAATTACTGAAGAAGCCAGCTTTGTCCAGCCTCTCAGAGTTTTTCTTATTGGTTTTTAGTAATTGTCTGTGCATAAATGTAACTTGCAGAACCTAAAATCCTGCATGTGTTGCATACAAAGTGATGCTTTCTAAATTAATCTTCATTTTCACACAATTATGTGACAACAGGACCCTGTACCTTGGTTGGTGTCGTGTACGTGGCTAGACGGGAATACCAGCGGCTCGCCTTCTCTGCGACGCCCTTCCCTGCAAAGAACACGCTGGTCTTGAACATGTCCAGCGTCGGCGTGAGCAGAGTGTCCAGAGCGAAGGAGGAGGAGGAGGGCGACGGCGACGCCAGGCTCATCCGGTCGGACCTCTCCCTGTAGGGGCTGGGCCGGGGGCTGGGGCTGGGGGTGGTGCTGGAGCTCCGACAGGGAGGCGACGACCAGAGGCGCTGGCGGGAGATGGGCTGGGAGGGCGAGGGCGGCTGGAAGGTGCGGGAACGCGGCACTCCGGCGGTCCTGAGGGGGGAGCTGTGGGGCAGGCTGGCTCTGCGGGGGGCACACTGTGTTGAGGGGTGCAGGAGCAGGGGGCTGACCGGGTCCTGCAGGTCCAGGCTGGGGGTCCGGCTGCTCAGAGGGCTGCCCATGTGGTTCATGTAGAGCTCGATCTCCCTGGCCAGGTCCCGGCGGGCGCTCGGCGTGCTGACCTCGTCCCCCTCCGGCTCCCGGTCCTCGCTCTGCTGCTCTGACTGAGACTCTGCAGCCAGAAGGGACAGGGGGTCATAGCCGGTTTCGATGCCGGTGCGCTTCACTGCTCCTCTGGGCGTCATGGAGGTCATGCCGCCGTAGCTCGCACTGCGTTCAACAGGTTTCTTGTGAGGTTTGTTGCGAAGTTTTGCCCCTGTGGCAGGTTTGTCTAAATCCAGATCCTCCAAATCAAAAATGGCCTCCATGTTGCTCCTGTCTTCATCGCTGGAGTCCTGCCCCTCCGTCTCCTCCTCTTCCTCCTCCACATGACTTCTAGCTGCGTTTGCCTTTGCAGCTGCCCCCTCCAACCCGCCCAGAACCAGCGAGTGAGGCCTCTTACTCTTGCTGAAGTTGGCGCCGGAAAGAATTTTGGCATCTGCTCCCAGGTGTCCTGCGATCTTATCCGGGTCGGTTTCACCCTGGCTCATGCCCAGACCGAGGACGGTGGTGCCGCTGCCGCTGCTGCCCACCGTGTCGCCGCTCAGCCGCCGGTTCCTCGCGCTCTGCCAGTCGAGAGCCGAGCCGCTGCTGGCGCTGCCCACCACCTCCTCCAGAGCGCTCTTATGTCTCCGGAGCAGACTGTTGGTGTGAACCTCACCGATCTCATCCAGAGAGGAGGTGAAAAGGAGACCTGCAACGTGACCTGACAGACAGACAGACAGACAGACAGACAGACAGGAGAGATTGTTGGTTTGTATTAGGAAGTGACACAGTGGAGGTGGGATGTTACTGACGTATATGTCCTGTTCAGTTTCAGCACAGATGATGTTACAGAAAGTGATGCATCACTTTATATCTATATATATTACCTACAGCTTTCTATACTGGTCATACCACTCCACATCATACTGTGTATATCTTTATATTCATACTGCCCTTAAAGCTATTACACCAGACACTTTTTATTGCACTTCACTTTTCCTGCTTCTTTTGCACTTCCTGTTGGACACTAACCTGTCTTTCCTCGTCTTATTACTTGCACTTTTTGCAAAGTTGAATCTAATCGCTCCAGATCTATAGCATATAAAGTATAGGTTTGTAGCTTTAGCTCGAGAAGCTGCTCTAGTATAAATAATGTTGGACTTAATGGAAGCTGCTGATTCTTTGCTTGAGGTCGAACCAGCTGCTCAGCAGGCGTTAAATGTGTTACATGGTGACATAGATGAATAATGGAAGACAACGCAGGACTTGAAACTCGGTGTATCAGGCAGGTAAAGAGCAGGGCTTTCTGTGGGAGAAAAACATATCCGGTGTGGACGTTGCAGGCCTCAAAATGCACAAAAAAAGCTATAACACACATGGGCTCTTTAAAATGGTGTTACATATGCAACTAAAGGTGAAAATTATGCCTTAATTGTGCAATGAAATCTGATGCATTCAGTGGTTTAGATCCTTTCACTCTCAGATGCAGTTAACAAGGTTCTGAAGCTACTACAGCTGTGTATGTCTTTCCATCTCTGCTCCGTTTCCTCGCCATGGCAACAGCAGCCGAGGCTCACGTGTACTCGTCAAAACGCTCGACAAAAAACACGATTTCTCAGAAACAAAGCTGAAACTATTAAAAGTGGAGGCCGTAACGTAAACCTACATAACAAGTAAATTATCGGAGTGTTTGAAAGAAAGCTTTGAAATGGTAATTTACAGTAAGGAGAAACAGCTCACTTTGCAAATCCATTAAGCGGTGAGGTTTTTCTATTACCTGCGCTGGCGGAGCTTTTGGGTTTACTCGCTGAATCGTCAAATGGACAACTGCTGCGAACGATGCCGCGGGGTTTGAAGGAGGAATTGATCTCCAAGTCCAGCTGAGGGAGGCAGTCTTTGCTTCCTTTGGCACTTTCCGTCTCTGACACTACAAACAAAGAAATTACACTTTAAAATTGGTCTTTTTCTTACAACACACCCCTGCTCTTTAAAAAAAATAAAAAAATAAAATCCACTGAAGGACAACACACAGCTGAAATGCTTTGATGTTCATGAGAAACCAAAAGGAATGAATCATCTCTGGAGGAGACAGAGAGATCAAGGCAGAGGAAGAGGGAATCCCATGTGGCCGCAGTGCAGCAAAAGTTACAGTTTTTTAGGAGGTAGACAGAAATATCAAGTGATATCAGATCAGACAGACTACTGACAGGAGCTGCAGTCGCTCTCCTTCTTGTCATCTTTGTCAGCGGTGGAGTCCTGGGTGGTGTGGTCTCCTCTGCGAACCTCCTCTTTGGACAGAGAGTTATAACCCAAATCTGACTGATCTCCTAGAAAACAAAGAGAAGGAGACAAACACTCAGATGAAACAGCCGAGAGAGAAGTCCGACAGTAAACCAAAAGGTCACAGAAATATACAACACAACAAATGGAAAATCAAAACAGTAACTCTAAAAAAATAAACTATAAAAATGGCCCTTTAAACTGCCCAAGTTTGAGCTCCTTTATTGAAGAGTTTCTCTATCGTAGCTTTACTGTGGCGGGAGATGTAAATGAAACATACATAAGAGAAGAAAATAACTTGTGAGGCGTTGCTTCACTTTCATCTCCTCAGTTCTGGGAGGCACGTCGCTGTTGCAGGGAGAAGACAGAAAAAGCAACTAAGCTGTGCTAGATAAAGGAATCCTCCTCGGGGCGTGCAGCAATCTACTGTTACTGTAAGAAAACAAACCGCATCTTCACAGCTGCTAATGAATTTGACGGCTAAGACTCGAGGCCGACTCCTCCATCTGTCTCCAAAACTTCCCCGAGTCTCCAGGCAACCAGCTGTCTCATGATTTGTTCTCCTCTTTCATCCTTGCTATGAACCTCTGCGGCCGTCACCTCTAAATAAACCATGAGGCTGCACAGCTCAGCAGCGGAACAGTATGCCGCGACTTGCAACTGACGAGGCTCCATCCAGGACTGTAATAATCAATGAGCTGCACATCGACGTCGCTCCCACCTGCTGTGGTTCCCCTCTCTGTATCCGCGCACAAAGCGAAGCCTCCCGCCGAGGTGCCATCTCCCTGATTAAAATTATTTCCGTAATCAAAAAGAATGTGCCTCTGGGTAATTGCTCGCCGTAATTGACAATGACAAATCACTCGGTGGCGAAGCGAGGAGCGAGAATGAAACGACGAAACGAGCAAGAGAGCAGCAGCAGACTGTGACAGGAAGAGGAGATCACAGAGAGAAACAGAAGACGATGAGGAAGAAGATAGAAAATGAAGATGCTGCAGAGCAGGTACGATGAGAGATTTCAGAGACAGACAGGCAGACTGGTAGAGAGGTTTACCTGGGTGGAGGGTGGCTTCTCTGAGCTCACAGCCCCCCCAGTGTGCCACCGGGGCCCTGGCGCCCACGCCGCCGCCCCCACGGCCGGCTGCATGCAAGGGCAACACAGGCAGGGCCAGAGTGAAGGGCAGGGTTAGGGACAGAGCAGAGCAGAAACCACAGCCGCAAAACCAGGGAGAGGTGATGGATGCACGAAAGGAAGGTGGGAAAAAACACAGGCAGCGGAGGGGAAGAGGAGGTGTGACAGGAGGAAGGAGGCCGGTCGGTCAGTGAGCGGGACAAATGTGGAAGGAGGAAATAAAAAAAAAATGTCATTGAGAGAAAAGAAAAAGATGTAGAACAAGATGGCTGCCTTGTGAAAGATGGAGTCACGCAGCAACCGTTGGAGGTGTACCTGTGCTAGATCTATCGTCAGTGGGGTCTACTTTGGTGGCGTCGGCCAGGTTAGTGTCGGCAGAGCTATCCAGGCTGCCGTGACTCACAGCGTCCAGGTCGCTGCCATCTGCCCAAAAACAACAAGGTGTTAAAGGAGGCTGGGCGCCGTTCCTGCTCCACAAAGGCCTCGAGGTTCTTCTTTCTATTTTATGTTTCATTGTTGATAAAGGAAGAGTAAGAAAGAAACGTCTGACTGGGTCTGTGTCACTCAATGCTAAGTAACAGGGCTGCAGGATGCTGGAAAAAAGTAATGCAATGTTTACTTTTTGTATATTATGATCGGATCAGATGCATTGATTCACCTAGTTTAAAAAGAATTAAACATTTGGTGTAACAAACAAACAACAGGTGTGTCTGCACAGAAAATAAAAAATAATTTAACCCTTTGAACCACAAAACCTGTCGATGAATGTCGAGAAAAATGCATGTTTGTTTTCTTAAGAAAATCGAATTATTAATCAGAAAAGGAAAATGCAAAAACAAAGACAAACTGTGGAATTTTAACTTTCTGTTTCTTCTGAAAAAATTGCCAAATCTAAATCTAAACTTGTGCTATTTAATCAAAATCACTTTATTTTACATATCTCATTTTAAAAAAATGCCCCAAAATAAACTCTTTGCAACAACCATCTTATTAATTTATGAGAATAAACTTAATTCTGTGCTCCTCGGCGTAACTGAGTAGCCATTAGTGACTCAGCTACAGTCATGAGTCATGTGACAGAAAATATTTTAGCTGAACTACAGGCTGTGTTTACAGAGAGCAGAGACAAATGGAGACAAATTAAAAATAAAAATAGCAAAATATCTGCAATATGTAGAGGCACCATTTTGCCAGCATCGTGAGCATCTGTGGGCACACGTTGGACTCAACATGTAATATTTCTACCAATTTTGTGAAATTCTCTCTTTTTTAAAATAATTTATGGCATTACACCTTCGTCATACCACTCAAAAGACAGTCCTGAGTTCACTCTACTTCCAGTCTTGGTTGTTCTGTTTCCATAGAGCTGCAGGAGTTTATATTGAAGTGAAATATGAGCCCACAGTGAGTAAAAATGTGACAGGAAGCAAAAATATATCCAGAAACTGCTCGTAGTTCAGAGGGTTAAAGGTACGTGACTCAGCTGAATGTGTGCAAGTCGACAAAGTCTGAGTTTTGTAGCGTTAAAAAAAAAACACACCCAAAAAACCCCCAATATATATCCAATAAGCATTAAATCAGAGTAAGTTATGTTCTAGCAGCCAGACTTCTTTATTACAATAATCACGGAAAATGAAAACGGTGTGAGTTTACTTTTTTAATCAAAAGAAGTTGCTGCATTACACATTTCAGTTAACTTGTCCTATTTCACATCAGACTTCCAATTCCAAGGAGGTATTGCTTCTGTAATTTAATAAAAATCCAGCAAAATCAAGTTTATATGATGATAAATAAAATGAGACAGGATTGTTTAAAAGCCAGAAAGTTTTTCATGCATTATTTTGACAAAACTATTCAAAATGAATTTATTCACCAGGACGAAACAGTTTCTCTAAAACGCCTGTTCATGGGTTCTACAGTTTCCTAAAATTCCAGAGAGGAAAACTGTAAATGCATTGGAAGGATAATATGCAATTTGGCGCTAATTACAGGGAAAAGGAAGACTGACTCGACTGCTACGCACTTAAAACTGATTAATTTTAATCACCTATTAGTGTAACCTAGAGAGTCTTTTAATCAGTGCACAGCAGCACAGAAAACCTGTCATGTACCATAAATTATAAACGCTGCAACAGAAGAAGAGAAATCCCAGTGTGTCTCCTGGTTGTGTGCAGAGACGAGCGTGTTTTACAGAAACCTTTGTGTCGTTCAAACTGAATCAGTGCAGGAGCAACAACACGTCGGCTTTGAACAGGGAGTATCTTTTAAAAAAAAAAGAAAAAGCAGGATTAGCAGGACGGGAATTAGCATGCACTGGGTGTTCAGATGTTCACCGGCATGCAGGGGGAGTTAAATCACACAAACTGAGATAGCCGTGTTTTATAGTTTCACCTTTCAGCTCTGCTGGACATTTATTACAGCGGACAGATGTATTTTTAGAAATGGTGGGGAGGTGGATTGACTGTTCTGAAAGTGAGGTTTTTTTAATGTGACTTTTCGGGTTTGTATTAGCAGCATGTGTTGTTGGAATGTTGTCATACTTTCAATTTGTTCTCTAAGTCTGTCAACATCATCTGTTAAGTATATATAATGATTAACTCTAACTAGTAGCTAACTGATGTACTTAAACAGCACAAGCACAGTTATTTGCTGTCATTGTCAGTAATTTCTTCGGTGACTTCACACAAACATGTAAGCAACAAGAACAGACGATAACAAGACTTTATCTAAATTCTGAAAATCTGTTACTGTCCAAAATATTCTTTTTTAGGTACACGTGTTTCTTTCTTCCCACAGCAGAGGGCTGTTCGACCTAACCTGGATTTTGTTTTGTAAACCAGCTCCACAAAACCACATCAGAGGGTACCATGGTGGTGGTTATAAACTTTATTTTTTACTAACTGGTTTTCTTCTTCACACTCTGAGCATTCTCCTGTAAGTCAAAAGGACCAGGTTGTAATACGGGAAAGCTACGAAGAATATAGAAATCTACCACATTAAATAAAGATACTACTGCAAATAACGCATGAGAGGAAAGCTGGTAGAAAACTGTTCTGCTCAGTACGTTAATGTATTTATTTTACCACCCAGTGACTCTTAATGCAGCAGCTTGTCTCTGACGTTACAGCTGCACATCAAACGTCTGAAACTTCAAACATCTGAACATGATATTAAAGAGCTGAGTTTAGGTCTGACACTGTTCCATAATGAAGGATAGCAATCACTTTTAATTACCAACAGAACAATAAACGTTCTAATCTGTTTCATTAGCTGCTATAATAGCAGTGTAAAACAGACTTGGCAGTGAATCAGGACCAAACATAAAAAGATATTTACATATTTTCTCGAATGCTTGTGCTGGGAAACACAATGCATACATGGTTGTGCGATACTGTAACTGCATGGCTTCATTCGGTGGGATTACGAACTGCCAGAGCAACAGGTTTGCTGAAATAACAAGTTCTCTGTATCGTTTACAGAAATTAACATCAGTAAACAAATTAGTCAAAGGGAGACGATCTTACAGCTGATTTAAATCCCAAATTCTGAACATAAGTCAGTTACAGTTATAGCAGGTTACCAGAGATCCACCTTTATGACATTAGAAACTCTGGCTTCAGGCTCCTCACCAAGTCATTCATTTGCTTCATTTTAGACCCTCTGATCTGAGTTGTTTGTTTTCCACCTGTAACTTCTTTAATTCAAAGTGACATATTTGTCGATGTCCTGGCAGGTAAACTTTTCAAAACTACAAAAGAACAACAGCTTAAGGCTGTGATACTTGACAGCGAGCAGTCTGTAGCATGTTAGTGATGACAGTTACCTGACAGAGGGCTCTGGGTCAGGGGAGCGTGTCGTCGCAGCGCTCGTTTGAACTGCGCCACGCCCAGGATGACGTTTCTCAGCTTCATCCACAGGAAATATCCTCCTCTGGTGCTGGACGGCCACGTGCTCTCCAGCACCGCCTAGAGAAGGAAGAATATCAGCTTAGAATAGGGAGGGGAGGAGGAGGAAGAGGAGGCTTCTGTGAGATGACTGGAAGAAAGATGTTGCAGCTAATGTACTCAGAAAGCCTCCTCACAAAGTCATGAGAACATTTTTGTATTTCAAAGATCTGTCACCATAAACTGCGCTTATAATCTCCCTATAAATAAATTACTGAATGTGAAAAGAGTCTGAAGATTGTGTGAACTGCAGCTCTGACTTCATCCGTTCGATTTAAACTCAACATTTTTGATGCGAGTGAACTGAAACTGAACCGTTCCATATAATGGATGAATTTTTCATCAGAGGCATTAACTGGAGAGTAGCTGGACCCACAGTGACACTCAGGAAAGGAAGCAGGAAAAGGCAGAGCAGCTGTTGGTGGCCAAGTCACGTTCGACAGAGTCTGTCTGCCCCTAAAATAAACTTCAGACACCCCCTGAGAAAAACTCGATTGGTATGCCGCCGAACAGAAGTGGGTTTATTGCGCAGGCTGCTCTTGTAGGGAGGCTCTGAGGATCTGGGCCAGGTGAAATGAGGCTGCCCTCCCCGAGATGTTGTCAACAATGTTGTTAAGACAGCTCAAGCACAGCCACACTTTGTACTGCAAGCATTTGTAAACACTGAAGTGCGAAGGGGGGACAAGAGGGCGACGGGATATGAAACATGACAGTTGTTTTTAAGGCTGAAATCAGTGGCATCCTTCAACTTCAGTGACTGACAGCTGATGTCTGGAAACGACGTTCAACGTGAGAAAAACAGTTTGACATTTTGGGAAATGCACTTAATTGCTTTCCTGCTGAGAGTTAGATAAAAAGATTTACCCCTTCAGTCCAAGAAATATGAAGCTACAGCCAAGAGACAGTTAGCCTAGCTTAGTTTAAAGACTGGAAACTGGAGGGAGGAAGTCTGTCACGACTGATCAAACTTTTCTGAGCTGACTGCGATCACTTTGCATAATCGCTAACATCGCTTCCATTCGCCTGCATTGAAGCAGCTGCATGAAATTAAGAGAAATGTCATGTTTCAGCAACTATTTCCACATTGTTTTTCAGCACTTGCACAACGTTGTCCTGCTGCGGTTTAACGGCACCAACTGTTTATCTCGAGGCGCCTAATTCTAATATTCCACTGACTGCATTTAAATGAGCATCTATTGACATCAACGTCATGGATTTGGCTGCAAAGTCAAACCGCACAGCACTGATGTTTAAACACTTTGGTTTATTTGTTGGAGGCTGCGTTCAAGGGCACAAATTCCACTAATGTCGAGGAACAAAATGATCAGAAAAAGAATTGAATTGAAATTAATTGTTATACAATAATTACATTTCTCAACTTTCACCATCATGACAGCTCTTACGTTGAAGGGGAAGAAAACAATCCTCCTACTACCACCTGTTGAACTCAACACGTTATGTCCAGTTGATCAGCAAAGCTTAATACCTGCTGGTTCTAGTTTCATATTTAACAGATGGACGAGATTCAATAAAGTCCCTGCAAAAAAACTAATTAATGTATTTATTTACATTACACTGTGGTGTTTGTGCAGAGAACAAACAAGATATAATTTGTTGATTAGTGGCCTTTAGCGGTTCTGCTGGATGAATATTTAACCTTTAACAATCAAGCTGTTTCCCGTTTTGGACAGATTTGAGAGGTCACCACTGTTCTGTTTTCTTTAGTATTTTTCACTTCCACTTACAAACAAACCTCCATTAGATTTGTTATCTATTCTAAGCTTGATCAACACCTAGTATTTACCAAACCAGGCTGTTATGAAAGGGGCTTCTTGCTCGGCTAATACACTAACTAGCGTCACCGTGAGGCTCAGACCAGCCTCCTGCTGTTCAGAATATTTATTTACAAAGACAGACCACTGATAATGGAGAATGATGGTGCGGTTTTTCTGACCCGCTGAGGCCAAAACCAAACTTTCGTGAAAACAGATGTTGCTCACAGTTTGCTGCTGTGATGTTCAAGTCCGTAACGTTCCCTGACAGACTCTGTCTCGATTTATGGCCCTTTCAGACGGAACGTGTAGCAGCACAGCGTTCAGCAGTCAAAGTTCAAATTAGGTGAATTCTGACTGCTTTCTGCCGTGACGATTATCCACACGGCCAACAGGAAGGAGGCATCCAGCCTGGCACAGACCAGACAACTGATCTATGTTTGAATTCCATGAATTATTTGGCACAATGAGAATGAAGGAGGAAAGTGTGATTGTGGAAACAGTTTTCCATCCAAGCAGGCATGTCAGATGTGTTTGAGCCTCTTTATATGGAGGTTTAAAAGTCAGACAATCTGTTGTAGGTTGACAGTATGTGTAAACAGAGCTTTCTTAACTGCGGTAATGATGTAAGGAGGCATCATTTATATCTTACTGACTGAGTGATCCAACTAGAACCCAGTGACAAACACAGTTTATATCATGTTGTGTTTAAAATGGCCTAAAATGTTTTCACCATCTAATGCAAGAAAGTGTATAAACTCCTACATATCTGGTCGCTGTTTTCAGCAGCGCTCCCCTGTCGTGTCTCTCGATAGCCTTTTATGTTGACTGAATGTCAAGTTTTTGATTCTTTCCTTGTAGAACTTGAATTGAACTGCGATATCACACAACGTCTCGCCTCGAGTGCTGATCTGCACGGAATATACATATATATATATATTTAAACTGCAAACAACAGGGAGCTACAGATCATTGCAAACTCCCCGTGCTGCGGGGCAACAAGGTTACTTTAGTTCCACTTTTTAAAATAAGTTTTACTTTCTTTGCACTTTCGGGAAGATTTTCTTTTCAATTTGGTTTTGTGAAGCTACTGCTCACTTATACTTCAGCTGTTTCTTCCTTATGTATTTGAATAGAAGTTATTTTAGACACTTTTGTTGAAGTTTAACCAACAAACATTCAGTTTGGTTTTATGTGCAACTAAAGGCTATGTCACTTTAATAGGGAATGAATACATAGGTGGGTATATTAGGGCAAAAAGTTTTTAGTTCTTTTTTTATAATTTAATCAGAAAAAAGTGAACTTTCATATATTCTGTATTCATCACATGTAAAGTGAAATAGTTCAAGCCTTTTTTTGCTTAAGTTTTCATAAATATGGCTTATAGCTAATGAAAATCAGAAATAAATAATAAAATATTAAAATATTTGAGATACTAGAAAAAAAAAAGGGGGTTATGATACAGAATTGTCCAAATTATGTTGTGGAGCTGTAGGTCATAATTATCTAAAATAAACTAAAAAAAACGCTTGATAAATTTTACTTTACATGTAATGAGTCTAGAATATTTAATATTTTGAATTTAGTAAATAACTAATGGAAACCATCAAACCATGAGCAAACTCAAGATTAAATATTTGAATATTTTAAGATTTTTTTTTTATTTTTTCAATTCTTTTTAAGCTGGAGGTCATAGTTATCAACATTCAAGCTTGAAACATTTGACTTTGCATGTAATAAGTTGAATATATATTATACATTCACTTTCCTAAACAACTGATGGAAAATATTAAACCAGCAAACTCAAAATGTAATATTTTTAGATACGTTTCTCATGATCAAAAATTAACTAGAAAATGCTTGAAACATTTCACTGTCAGTATAGTGAGTGTAGAATATATAAAATGTTCAAGCTCTTAAATAACCAATGGGAAACATTAAACTTTCCCACAACATTCTAATTCTTTGGTATGAACTGGACTGTACAGACTTACAAAAATGCATTAAGGTAAAAAAAAAAAAAACAACAAAAAACCAGCAAGTGTCCAGTGCAGCAGGGAAAACCGAATTTGCGTCAGTGCAGAAATGGGCCACGTTGTTGTGCCTCCAACCTGCAATTTGTAAGATGAAATAAGACCCTCCGAGGTGTCAAAACACACCGGAGTAACCTTTACTGCGGCCTTGTCTCCTGACAGCCTGCTCCCACATCAGCCAATTTACTTTTATGCTGCCTGGATGGCCGGATCAGGGACAGGTTGCGATGATAACATAGCCGCGACTCATCCTGACACCTGGGTGAGATCACACGCGGTGCCGTACAACCTTGGGGGTAAACTGCAAATGTCACCGATGTTTCTCTTTATCCGAAAGCCGAATGTCTGCGGAGGCATTTCCGTGATGAAGTGTTCTCTGCCTTGTTAGTGCCAACCACAGGGAGGTGAGTTTTTAGGGATTTAGCACAGTGGTGCAATAATTTGGATGCAATTATTTTTGTGGTTATTGAGAATCATGAATAAACAATCAACGTCAAGGCTGCAATCAGTCATCATCATCATCCAGGATCCTGAGCTATAATCACCCAGCACATGGCTTAACCTTTGGAGAAACGGCACCGAATCAGAGGCTCTAGATGTCACTCAGAGGTCATTTTATGTGGTGCTGAGATGCTGTGTGTTACTTATGCAACACTAATTTTTAATATTCCTGCAGTATTTTTTCAATCATTTCCAATATGACATCGACACATCAATACGTTGTTCTCATAGCAGCCTGCCTGATTTGTCCAGCAGCCAATTCTCCAACTCAGTGTGCGTATTCATCCATCACCGCTGATGGAAATTGAGCATCTTATTGGACAGCGTTCGCAGAGACGTGTTAGACATTTTTTGGCTGTCATGGATGTGTTCATGCAAACTTGTTGCAGAATCAGCAGAATACAAACATGTCGACAAGAAGGACAGCAAACCCAGGACAATAATAAAGTAGGTGCATGTCCCAGAGCTCATATATTTTTATTAGCACCTGCGTGAGACATCGCAGGGAGTGTCGGTATGTTGCACCTCTTATCCAAGCTTTGTGTGAATGAGTAAAGGTGGTATTGTTTCCATCACAGAGGCCTTGTGTACAATATTATGACATATATAAAAACAAAGATAGATTTATAGCACTTTATCAAACACATGTAACGTATACTAACCTTGTTGTAGTAGCCGTAAGTGATGGCATTGGGGTGAACTCCGGCCTTCTTCATCTCAAATAGGACCCTGACTGCCAGGACCGGCTGACCGTACTGTCCACACAGCTGCATCAGCACCCGGTAACACACCTACAGACGGACATGTTTGATTGTTCAGGCAGAAAGACAACAACCCCTAAAGATTACTGCAACGTACTGCTGCCGCACCAGGACAAGAAAAATGGATTAGTGTCACGTTATGAAGTGAGAAGTTTATTCTTCTAACAAGATGTATTCACACTGTAGCATGATTCTTTCATATTGTTACAACATGTGCGACGTGAAAAACATGTTTGAAGGACGAAAAGATGCATAAAAACTGGATGAATAAAGGAATATGGCTCATTGAAAAGATCTGATTAATGTTCTCAACCTTGAAAGGCATGTTTAGTTTTTTTAAGCCTGCAAAAAATCATTATTAGTCAGAAACTGTAAAAACAGGAAGAATCATTGGATTTTCAACTTTCTGACAGTCTTTGACCTTGTGGGTGACTTTCAGTTTCATCAGGAAAAATAAATACATTTAACCTTTAAATCGTACTGTTTCCTCAAAACCACTTTATTCCACATGCCTCATTTCAAAATTTGCCAAAAATAAACCAATTGTACACGAAAAACTCAGCATAAAACTAAAAGTTCTGCTCTCCTCCTCAGAGACTGAGAAGCACTGACTGACTCAGCGGTGATCAACAGGCAGGTGGCAAAAAATCTTGAGTTTTTGAATAAATTAGGCTGAACTGCAGAGTGTGTTTACACAGAACAATTAACAGACAGCTATGGAAACAAATTAAAACATGAGTAGTAGAATAGCGACAGTGTGGAGAGTCACAATGTTTTTCCAATACTGGTAACACCTGTGGGCACTCAGTAAAATGTTGGACATACTGATTCTAGTTTTTTTTTTCAATATTTGTAAAATAGATAATCAAATAGTCTCAACTTTTGTTTCACCTTTGTTTATTATTTATGGAATTCTAACTGTGTCATTCTGCACAGAAAACATGTTTGAGTTCATTCTACTTCCAGCCACGCTTGTGCTGCTTCCATAGATAAAGATTCCCTGTTATTGAGCACAGTAGGAGATATTATCATGTATCCATGGAGCCTTTAGTGCCTCCAGCACTGAGAAATGATGCTCCCTCCAGAGACTCATTCTTCCTTCTGTGCAGCCTCCTGCATTTTAAAATCCCTCTTTGTGTACGCATAATTATCACAATATCATCCACAACAGAACCTCACCATGTCTCAAACAAAGCATGAAGCAGAACTCACACAACTCTTGTAAATGAGCCATATTTCTCAACTTATACATTCTTTGCCCAACATTTCCAAACATGACCTACCCAATGTAACAAGATACACAGTATATCGTTATGACAAAAACGGTTTATTGTTAGAAGTTTGTGTGTCATAATAATGTGAAAATATCTTGTTACACTGGTGAAAACATCTTGCTATAGCATTAAAGTTTTCATCTGTTTTTTTTTCTGGTGTGACACTGAGCTAAGCCAGTTTCAAATTAGTAAAACCAGACTCTTTGCTCAATAGTTCACCGGTGTTTTGGCAGAGCAGCTAACGTACCTCATCAGGGGGCTGCAGCTTCTTCACCTGCATCTTCCTGAGGACGTCGTAGGCGGTGCGAAGAGCCCGAACCTTGGAGTGACAAACCTTCACATACGCCGGCAGACAGATGAACCACAGACCATAGCAGTGACGGAGGAGGCACTTGGACCACAGCTGAGGGATAGACGAGTACCTCTTGGCGATCTTCTGGGCTGACTTGATCTCCTATTGACAAAAAGCAGGAAATAATTCAGGCTTGAGGATGACCCAGAATCCCATAGAAAACAATGCATGTGTGCTCGGCCAATCGAAGTCACTTTCCCATCACCCTGGAGAACGAGTTCATGGTGTTACAAAAATGAAACTTCTAGCTGCTTTTTTATGTGCGGATTCGTTAAGGCGGCTTTGTTCATATGTTTAACTTTCACAGAATAGAAAAGAAATACTTCTGTAATCTCTGAGGTGAAATTCGGATGTTGCAGCAGAAAAAGTAAAGCTACCACCACCATAAATACAGATAAAAATATTCAGTAAGGAAAAACAAACAATAAGAAAATGTAAAATGCAAAATGCACAATAAGTGTAATATGCATCCCAAGTAAAAATGTCCTACGTGATCAACTTTAAATTAAAAATGCACTATTAATACCCTCGAAATAAAGATGTACTATGTGGTAAACTATAAACAAAAGATTTACAAATGTGAAAGTCCATAAATGAGAACGTACAAATTCTTGCAAAGTTTCGTGCAAGAGTAGAAGAAAAAGTGCGCAAAAAGCACTTTTTTTCAGTTGTAACACTCAACCCAAACTCCTGACTCATGTAATTAGAGAGTAACTTTTCTTTGTCTGCAACCTTTTGTGCAGTTTTAGAGATTGTACTTTTTACTGCAGGTTTCCGAGACCCTTTTGTTCTCATCTCAGGCCTCAGCTCAGTACTTAAACACATAAATCAATAAATGACAGCGTGACGGCAGCGAGCTACTGTTGTTCTGACCTGCTTGGTGCGTCTGAACATGGGGGCAGGGCTGGTGGGGCAGCTGTGCCTGGCAGCGAGGCGGGATGAGGGCGTCCGCAGGCCCTCCACCGGGTCAAACAGGTCAAGACTTAACACTGGGAAACCATCGTACCTGGTGAAGAACATACACATACACATTAAAGCCACACAGTCCTACAATATACACAACTGAACACTTTTCTTCTGAATATTTACATGTAAAATAAGAGGGTTGTAAATCCTTAGAGTCACTTTCCAGTTGCAGATTTTCATTTAACGCCACGAGGAATCAACCAGCACAAAGAATATTGTAATAAATCAATCATAAAGTGATTGCATCAGTGACATTAATATGGCTTTTTGGGAATTATCTTCACAGAGAGCTGCTAAAAAAAAAAAAATCTGAAAAGCAGCTGGTCATTATGGATTATTGGAGCTTAACTTGAGTGGTGGGGAAAAAATCTTTGGGCGTAAATTATTCAGAGTGAAGCATAACTGCAGAATACAAACACCACATATTTAGATCCACACGGTCCAGCAACAGAGTTCACTTTGTAGTCATCCCTCTAAGAGAGCTGGACTCCTGCTGGTCTTCAATCAGCAATGCCAAGAACAAATTAACCAACTTTCAACTTAATTTATTGCTCCCATTTTTCAATTTTCTCCCTGCTGTTACATTTGTCTCCAGTTATTTTTATGGAGGATGTCGAGCAGGACGACGGCTCTCAACAGCACAGCTTTACAAATATTAACCCTCTAAACCTCAAACCCTGGTGGCAGGTTTGAGAGGCATATTGTCTTTTTAAACTGCCACCACTTATCAGAGCCAGTAAGTGTGAAACAGAAACTATCGTCTTATGTTTAGCTTTCTGGTGTTTTTGACATGTAGTTCCATCAGGGAAACAACCAAACCAAGCTTAAAATTGTGATATTACATTTTAAAGAATACCTCATTAGACGTGTCTGATGTGAAAACTTCCCCCAAAAAATAAAACGTTTGCAGCTAAAAAAAAAACAAAAAACAAAAACGTCTGTTCTAATTGTCTTAATATGGAAGCCATCTCTGCCTCAGCTGCAGACTGTTTACTCAGAGCAGAGAGGAGAATAGATGATGAGGAAAATAAAACATACTTGATCATTAAAGTAAATGCAGCATGGCTCATAAACTGTGTACCAACAGTGTCAGCGAGTTGTAGGAAAATACATTCAGCACGGTGAACAGTCTCTCTAGCGTTGACGTGCAGAATAGTTTGAAAAACATTTAGTTTGTAGAGGATGTAAAACTGTGAATAGACGTAGTCAAATAGCCCAAAGTACAAAGTGTGGGCACATGAAAGCATACTGTACATATTCCTTCCACTTTGTATATATTTATAAAGTGAATAATCAAAGAAATGTACAATCATTTTTATGATTTATGGCATCTGTTTAGCACTGCACAGAGGATATTTTTGACTCCTCTGTACTTCTGTTTCCATTTAAGTGCGTATTTCAATGAAAAATGAGTCCATGGTGAGTAAAAATGTGACAGGAGCAATAAAAACACTGACAAACTGCTCGGAGTTTAGAAGGTCGAAAGTGTTTACTGACAAATTCCACTTTGCGATTCGAAGTGATCAGAGCGCTGATTTGACTTTGTGTTCTGTCATTTGTGGTGTGACAGCTTGGTTCTAAAGAAGCGGAAAAGCGTAAAAACGAACACTCCGCCGTGCGAAATGAAACAGCAGCTGCATAAAGAGAGCTTTCACCTGTAGCACAGCGGATATTCCTCCCCGTCGGGCAGCGGAGGCAGCTCTGGAGGTGTGATGAAGACTGTGTGCTCGCTGCGCTGGGATTCATCAATCTCTATCAGCCGGGTCTCCTCCAGCCTGTCACTGTCCACCTGCAGAACAAAACACGAGCAGAGCAGTCTGGGTGTTGGTACCGTGACCCTTCATCTATCACCGCTGATGGAAACAGTGGGAGGATCCCACCGGGTAGGTGAGAACTTCCACACAGATCTTGACATTTCGCCCTGTAATAAATATTTCAGCGTTTGCATAAGCAGGTTTAAACGAGGCAAGAGGCAGACTGACTTTTGAAAAACACTTTTTTTTTTTTTTTCACCAAAGCATAATTTCCAAACAGCTTTCTAACTGTCATCCTGATAGCAGGATTTCCACACAATGCGTATCTGGGAGAGCTGAGGGAGAATGACAGCAGGTGACCTAGATTTCCCGAGTGAACATGTTCCTCTTTTCTTTCTTTGTTCTGTTTTTTTTTTTTTAAACACTCGCTCTGCCTCTCTGCAGCCTCCTCTGTCACCACACACAAAGCTGACATTAGCCTGTACAAGTCAGATTCATTCCCCTACTTTTGTCTCCTACTGTGCAATGTTTGCTTGAATAACAAGTAAATAAAAATCCTCACACACAAATCAGCCTCAACAATAAAACCTTTAAGTCCTAAAACCTGCAAGGTGGAGCTGACATGTATTGGATTGATTTTTTTTAACCCATCTCACGGATGTCGATAGCATTGATTTCTGGGGCGTCAGTGAAGTTTTAGAGGTCACTGGTTCATCAGTGGTCTTTCCTTGGACCACTTTAGGTAGGTACTAACTGCTGCACACCAGAAACACTGCAAAGAACCGCCTTTTGGGAGAATCTCTCACCCAGTAAACTTTCAATCTTAATTTGAACCTTGTCATTTGTCTCCTTTCAAAGACACTCAGATTCTTTGGGTGCCCATTTTTCCAACCTCCAACAAATCAGCTGTTCACTTGCTGCCTGATATATCCGACCACTAACAGGTGCCACTGTCACGAGAAAATCAGTCAACCAATTACTAGCTGTGTATACAGTACATAAAACATCTGGCTCGGGAGGATGGGCAAAAATAACATGTTGGTAACCTGAGCAGCTACAGGGCGTATATATAATAAAAAAATAAATAAAACAAGACACAGCTCACTGATGCTGACCAGCCCACATTCTGGGTCTGACACTCTTCTCAAGTCTAAAAATGTGCAGGGAAATCACAGCAGCTCTCAAAATCACCTGGATATAAACTCTTCCAATGTTCTCCCTCTGGCATGTCAGAATAAACAGACCTAAGAACAGCTTCTTCGTCTGAGACATCGCTCATCAACAGTTAAATCAGTCACATGACGACGGAAAACATTTCCTGAGCATCAACTCTGCAACCATAGAACATGTGCTGTGGTAACACATGATGTAAATTCTACTTTAATAAAAAAAAAATTTAAAAAAACTTAGAGCTACAACAAACTAGATCAAATCGTTTGGGTGCATTAATATACTTGGCTAATAAAGTTGTTTCTGATATCTTGTCAAATTTGCAAATAGTAACAAAACCAGCCTTTTTCGCAAAAGTCTTAAAATGAATTAGAATTAGCATTAGAATAAAATTTTATTAATCGCTAATGTATGAGACAGATGACTAAAGAATAAGTCAAACTACCAAAAACTGGATCCATGTCCATAGCAGACTGTTCTTATGTGGTAAGCAGATGTCGTTCAAACTCCACATATCTATCCTTCCCATCGATCCATTTTCTATTGCTTATCCAGACTCGGGGTTGCAGCAGAGGAAATCTCAGCAGCCACCAGACGTCACTTTCCGTAGCAACCTTCTCCAGCTCCAAAATCAGAGCTACTCCTCACAAAGGCTAGACTAAAACAAATTAATATAAGATTGGCAGAGAGCCCCTCTGAGGACTAACTGACCTTAGATTCAAAGTCCTGTTGTGGTCTGTGCGTCTGCAAAAGTGTGAGTAAGTAACAGGCTCTGACTGACATTCAAGTGAAAGAAGAAGATTTATACCACCAAAAAGGATGGATCGATAGGTCAATTGTTCAGGGAGAGTGTGTCCACTCTATAAATCTAAATCTGCAGCTCGGGGGAGCTGGCTTAGTGTGAGCAGCAAGTTTATTCTGCCGCAGATACTTGCTATCTCAAAGAGAATCCATAAAACCTTTATATCTATGGAGATTAATTGTAATGGCAAGGTGCTAATGTATTCACCACCAGCGTTTATGCTTAAAAGATTTCAAGAAGAGTTCAGGAAATTCAACAGCAGCCTTGGATGACCACTTGATTTATAAATATCAACCAGTCATCGCACCATTACATCAGTGTGCTTTGAGTGTAAATTGGCATTGCAGAATTTATTGTGCGAATAAAATCCCCTGCGGTCAGTCAGTATGAGTTTGATACACGACAGGTGCATTAAATTACAGTTAAGAGTTTCTGCCAGTGTGTCTCCAGCTCAAACCCTTTATCCTGAAGCTGACAGTTTATAGCTGCTCACTGGTGGGGAAAAGTGCTCTGACTTTTCATAAAAGATGCTCGAAGAAAAAAAAAAAAAAACATCCAGGAGGCAAAAAGAAATGATAGTGAGCACAATGGATGTCACCTATCATTTCCATCAGTGACATCTGGACTTACTGTGCAGACTCACGTCAGTGTTGCAGACAGATAAGACCCAAAGTGCATCTTAAAGCAGGAGGTCTGAGCTTTATGGTGGATATAAAAAATCTACATGAAGGGAAGCCTCATAAATCGAGAAGTGTTTAATGACAGGCTTTAGGGCTGCAGGCAGTGATTTTATTCACGTCGGATGAAATGAAGGTGAAGCGCTTGCTCAAAGTTCATAATTTAGTCTAGTTAGTCTGATGGTGATTAAAGTTTGATATCAACCTCAGTCAAAGCAGTGAAGTGTGGAAGTGTCTGTTCTTTGGTGCAGTCTGGAAAAAAAAGATTTCATTCTTCCTCTTTTGCCTAATAACGCACATCAAAGCCGAACATAATGTTCTGTGATGTTTCTCTGAGCACATTTTAGAGCACAATGCTAAAAGCATGATGAAATATGAGCTGCGGTATGAACGCAGCATGTGCAGGGTGTCTGCAATCATCCGTAGATAAGGTGAAGGTGGGAGGGTTACAAACGCCGCTGGAAGGAGTCAGACGAGGAGATTCGGGCATCTAATCAGGAAACCTTCCAGGCATGTTGAATCCCAATTCCAATCTCCACACTCTGAGGAAGTGCGTGACGGTTTAGGGCTGTCCCACTGTCAGATCATCAGGTGCACAAATGCCCTAATGTGGGCTTTTTGACACCATTATGCACCATGTCTGTTAGACTTTCCAGAGGGACTTGCACATAGTTCACAGCAAAATTGGTGATGTACAAAAGCACTATCCTGCCTGCCACAAAACATGCACTAACCAAGCATGGATGGTGGAAGGAAGACTCCTCTAAGAAGTTTATCTGTCAGAGCATATGGCATCTCCTGCTGCTGAGGTTATTTACTGCATGTTTGTAGAGCTGTTTGTATCTTCAGCCGACGTCTGCGTATGATTTACGGACGTTCACAGCTCTCCTGACTTTCAGTAGTTTGCTAAAATGTATAAACACAAGCAGGGAGCAATGAACTGAGCAACTGGATTAAAACACAGATTCAAATTAACTTTTAAAAATGGTCGTGCAATGTTTCTAGGCAACGTCTGCCGAACACACTCAAGCACAACAGCTGTGACGTCAGTTAAGGCCTCAGGCTGGAGACTGGGATTGGGTCGTCCTATACTGTCTGGGAACACTTTGGCATTTACCAGAGAATAAAAACGGACATGCTGAGGGATGTCTGGATGGTCATGGTCCAGAAAAAGGGCCTAAAATGTATGTAGACGTAAAAACAGCATCTAACTGATTAATGCTAGTTCATTTTTACATCTAAACTGTTGGTTTGATGATGAAGACCTCCTGGAAAATTGGCAAGATACTATTTTAAGGATGTAACAGCTCAAGTCTCAGTCAAATTATCTGCGAAAGCTTAATTCAGAGATAAAATTTGTTTGTATGTTTTTTAAAAAAAAATACTTTATTTCCTGGGATGTTTTGTTTTTAAATGCTTCCATTGATGATGATCAGGGATTTACCTGCATTGAGGAATTTCTGGCAACTGTCAAAAAAGTTTGAGCCAGACTTTTTGTTTTTATTGTGTTCGAACTGATGCCTTGCTGTCATGTGTTGTCATCCCCAGACAGGCCTATTCGGAGGCAGGAAACTCTCTAATGATTCATATATTTATTGAGTTGGTTTGGAGGTGGTATGTTGTCTCCTCGTCACCTGGATTCCTGCCTCTGTGCTCTGCACATCAGGACTCCACTAGAAGTCTTGAACTGTTATTTCTTTGTATAATTTAATATAATCCTTTAATCTCAGGCGAAATCGTGCTCACTGTATTACAGTTTTATTCACGTTTCGCTTAGCTAAGCATCTAATTCATGTTATGTCTTTTCATTCTAATGAAGCAGATAACGTTAGCTAATGCAATCTTAATTACTAATGTACCATTAAATGACTTGACTACACAATATGGAAACAAACTTGGCAGCCTTGTACATCAGTAACAGATTAATCAATAACAAAAAAATGAGCCTAGTAGATGCCATTATATGTTCTACACCGCTTCAACAGCGTATGGCGTGATATGAGCCACTCGTCTGACTTTATGTTCCCACTTTGCCAAAATCATGTTGATGTAACGTACTTCTACCTGCTTAAAACATGAAAGCTCTGGCCAGTGGTCATTTAGCGTCACTGAAGACTTTCTTATAGTTGTACTTTATTTGCTAAACTGTTTGCCAACACCAAACTGCTCGTAGTTTACCGTCTCTACAGCATTAAACACTTAGCAGCTCTACCTGGTGGTACAACCAGGTACTGCAGCTAATCTACAACACATTTTTGGACATGTACGACTTATCATTTAATATAATTTTAATCAGTAAAAGCTGATCACATACAGCCACTGCAGCTAACGTTATTGGGTGAACTCTGTCATGTGGTACCCCAGTGCTGGTATCCATCCATTAGCCATATCAGTTTCATCCTGTCGAGGGTTGCAGGAGGGCTGGAGCCTATCACAGCTGACACTCTGGACAGGACACCAGTTCATTGCAGAGCAACAACAAAGACACAACCGTGCATTCGTAGGCTCACACTCACATCTACAGCCAATTTTGAATCACCAATTAACCTCCCATGCAAGTCTTTGGACTGTGGGAGGAGAAAACCCACACAGGCAAAAGGAAAACATGCAAACTAAACACAGTAAGGCCCCAGTAAGGCAGCATATTCAAACCAAAAACATAAGTACTAATTTTTAGATGTTTCAATGCAGAAATATTAGATATCATACCTTGAAATCTAAACTAATAAAAATATCCAGCATATACATCAGGGACCACTGAAAAAAAACCCCAGGTATTTCTGAACGCCCACACACACAAACATCACGTAATTTATACCTGCGGATATTCAGGCAAGGTGTTATTGTTTTTAAATGCGATGCAACCCACACCGCTCCACAGAGACTGAAGTCGGCTGTGATAATGAAGGAGCAATCTGTCTGACAAGTAGGTCCTCCATCAGTTCAGACTTCAGAAAAAAAGAACAGACAGGTGAGATGAGAACGGCTGGTCTATATCTCTCAAAGAACATCGAGTTAATCTGGATCAGACGAGGAGCTTTCCAAGGGACTGAAAGCACAAGACAGAGACGCCCAGAGTGTGCTGAGTGACTGCAGATTAACTTACACAGAGAGAAACAACAGTGATTTCATCTATACCTTACCAGCCTCCTCCCTAATATATTCAGCCAAGGAACAAGTCCAGCACATCACCGCCCAGAACGCCGTAACTCACTGACACTTTGTTTCTGTGCAAATTAAACAAAAGAAATGTAGTTGCTTTTGCACACAGCCAAACTGAGCTGGCCGACGTGTACCGCAGGGACGCGGGAGTCAAACTGATCCTCTCATCTACTGTAACTCTCTGCAGGAACGCGAGTAAGTTTATTTTCCAAAATGTCAAACAAATCCTTGAAATGTGCACTCCCCGACTCTGATACGCCACAAAATAGAAGCCCCCGGCCCCAGAATGTTCTCTCAGTTCATACTTGACATTTTGGAATTCAGCTGTCAGCTAAGTTCACTTTCAAAACATCAGTGACTTGGCAGGAAATTCTGGGTTTTGGAGATACTGCTGGGAGTGAATGTTTAAAGATATAATTTAAAACTGAAATGTAAACTAACTAGAGCACAACCACCAACTCTTTAAACAGTTTCAGATTTACTGACGGACATTTAATAAGGGGTCTTACAGTTGACCACAATTAAACTAGAGCTCTGACTGACATATATATATTACATATGGGAACTTCAATTTCCATAGACTATAAGCCATGATCATCAAAAACAAAACATGCAGTCTTGAAATATTTCCCTTTTATGTGTGTAAAAAGAAGAACTTTTTCTCGATGCTCACACTTGTTGAGATGCACAACACCAGAGCCCAGTAAGCCTCTAAGCTAAATATTATAAAAACATTAGATTTACATGAATAACTTAAATTTATTGAGCTCTGACTCCTCAGATATAAATCACAGTCCCCCGCTGTAAACAGAGACAGCACAATGAATACATATCCGTGCACACACACACAACTACAACACAGCATACACTACACTTTACCATCTATTCCCCCCTCATTATTCTTCACTATTTTTTCTTCTATAATAACCTTATATATAGTTTACAATAATTTCAGTATGACTTGTTATTGCGCAGCTCTGCAGCACCATCCTATTACCTTTTTCCGCCCATACTGTGTGAGCATGTGACAAATAAAGATCTTAAAGTAGGGTTTTGATTCATTTATATAGAATCCTGCAATTGTTTGAGTTTTTACAGCTTTTAATTAACTGAATTATATCTAATTTGCATGATTACTTAGTTTTCATCTCGTGTCCCTGCAGGATTTAATTAGTTTTGTTGCGACAACGAACTTGTTTTCCCTCGGGGATCAATACATTCAGCCTTATCTTTGTGTATGGGACTGCTGCTGTGTGTATGTGTGGGCTGAGCTGTGTGCTCCCTCTGAGAGAACCGATAATGTAATCCAGCCACAGAGCACAAAGACAGTCGGAGGATTTAATCGCACGTAGAAGTGACGCACAGCGAGCGTTGGGAGACCAGAGACCCACTGCAGGTCTGGGAAGTCAGACAAGGGAGGATGTGGATGGTGGCCTCTGGATTCACATCCACTATGTCTCAATTACAGCCAGAACACACACACACACACACACACACACACACACATATAATCCAAGGACGGCCAAGTCTATTTCAGAGTCGGTTATAAATGTCACCTGCGAAAACCAGTGACCCACAGACGTGACTTGGGAAACGAGTGGCTGCGTGGACTTTAAGACTGCAAACACACTGAATTTTACTTTGGCCTCACAGGCTGATAGACGAACACGACGCTGTGCGAGCATGAGGTCAAACTCCTCAAATGCTCCCAGTGGAGCAAAGAAGACACACCGGCTTCCTCTCCAAGGCCTCATATTGTCTCACTAGACGACATGAGCCCAGGGGATGTATAAAAAAAACTAACTTCAGGCTCTGTTAGTGCTCCAGAAATCACTGAAGCGCTAAAAAACCCTCACTCACTTGGCTCATGAAAAATTAAGGACAGAAATCTTTGCCGAAAAATGTGCACATGGATTTTCTATGAAGCAGCACCTTCACTATCTCAGGACAAATTGCTGTGGCAGCAAATTTGACGTGAATGGTGGATACTCCAATATTCATTAAAAATGGAGAAAGGCTGGGAACTGATACAACTGATGAAAAGGAATTCAAACTGCACAACAATGAGTGGGCTGTCTGAAGGAATGGTCCTCACTTCTGAACAGACAAATACTGTCTCCTCTACAACCTGTTTCCATTCAAGTCATTTTGTTGTTTGCATGCAACAAATCCCCTATCCAGAAACACAATCTAGCCAGAACAGGTGAGAATAATAACAGACTTACCTTGCCTCCCTTATCAGCGCTCCGTTCTGAATTGTAAAGCTGCTCGCAAGTGGAGGCAGAAAGGGAAAGAGAAAGAGACACTCAAGAAATTGGAAGCAGAAAGGAGAGATTTGGCTGAAGACAAGGTGAGGTTAAGGCAGCAGAGAGTGAAGACTACCAACACTACTAGAAATAGGACACAGAGGACGTGTGCTGAGCAAAACAAACAACCGCAAAACAAAGGAAAACTCACAGGAACACGAAATTAATAAATGGCCGAAGAGGGAAAAGGCTTTTGTTTCATTTTTTGTTAGCAGGTTACTTCCAATGCTTCAAACTGATCATGTACACTGTAATTAAAGAACGTTTTTAACTATGATTATCTAAGGATATCTAAAGAATTTATTGTAATTTTACAGATTTTCAGTTTTGTTAAATTACCGATAATAATAATCAGTGGAACTGTGGGAAAAGTATGACTTTATTTGCCAGGTCACGTTTGCAAATGGTTCTCAAACATTTCAAGCTGGTAAAATAAAGGTCAAATAAATAAAATAAATACATTTGTTCAGTCTAATAGACAGACCAAAATGTCCACATAAAAAACTGTGTTTCTACAAAGACGGTTAATAACCTCTTGCAATGTGTGACTGTAAAATGACACGATGTGACTTGCATTTAAACGGTCCAAATTACTATTAATACTACTATTGTTATTATGTGAAAATAGTATGGATAGTATTACCATGTTCTGCTAAAGTACAAATAGTACCTAGTAAAAAAAAATAAATAAATATAAAAATATAGTATTAATTTACATGGTGACTGTAAAAAAAATAAAATTACGCCAAACTTATACATAATCCAAAATCTGTGCAAATATTAACTTGTTCCTTTGTCACGTGGGAAAATTACAGTTATACTCTATTTAAATCTATTTTTCCATCATTTTCACATTTTTTTGCTGTTTTTTAGACATTTTTTAAAGTGTCTTCACTGAAATTTAGTGTAGAGGTTTCCTGTTTTGTTAAATTATAAATAATAACAGCTCACATCAAAACATTATATTTTACAGATAAATGCAAAACATAGTAACTGGTAAATACAACTTTAACTTTTTTGTTTGTTTGGGTTTTTGTTTTTATAGATTTTTTAATTATTTTAGTTTTAATATCTGGTAAAATCTCAGACATATAAGTATTTATTTACACGTTAGGTGTCACAGATCCACATCAAAAATCTGTATTCTAATTAGTTCTTTAACCACTTCTGACTGTAAAATTAAACTGTTTGTTTACTGATATTTGCTGTTATTTTCACAGTTTATTATAGTTTTTGAACATTACAGTATTCCAACATTTTTCTCACATAATTGTTGTTTGCCCTATTTTGTTAGTTTTTTTTAAACAGAGGAAGTGTACGTTACTGCATGTTATCGTATGTTAAGTAAAGGGCTTACTTTGTCCACACAGTCGTCAAAGAAGGCCAGACTGGCGTCTTTGTCACTGACGAAAGAGCACTCCTCGATGAAGCGGATGAACATCTGGGTCTTGGTCATTAGAGAGTAGAACTTCTGGTGTGAGCGATCGCGGCTCTTCAGGAACCCTGAGGACATGAACGCTTTACGTTAACCTTTAAAAATGAGAGTAACCTTACCCAGCAGAGAGGTTTCTCCTGGAATGATCCAAAGATGATTTAAGATACAGCAGCAGGTTTATTAACAAAGTCACTTCATCTCCTAAAAAGTAGTGAGCGTTTGCAAGGACAATTTATATACTGTTTCCAAAGGTGTGTGATTTTGTGGTTAAAGAATCCATCATTCCATAAAAGGCCCAGTACACACAGCCTCCATTTGTCTTGGTTTGGATAATGCATGCCACAGTGTTATTAGTATAATGGCCAATTTGGGATGTACAACAACGCAGTGAAGAGCTTCCTTAATAGATGCTGAAAGCAGCTTAACTGAGTAATAAGCCATGGCTGTGATGAGACTGAGAGCAGGATGGATGGCCGCTGGCTCGCAGGACGGAGGTGGAAGCCAAATACTTCCTGCAGCTGATAAATATTTTAATCCTGACACTGGCCACTTGTAACCCGGACCATCAGTTGATTCTGACCAAAAACTCCTCCCAGTAGCTGCACTTTATATGACTCCTTTTCTTTTTATATCAGTGTAAGTACTCCCTCAAACTACAATCTAAAACATTAGGAGTGTCCACAGGGACTAATTACGTTGCAATTTAATGATTGGACCTTTTATTAATTACTTATTTGCTAGTCTGACTCACCAGATGTGGACTGTAAGTACAAGCTGCCATTTCTGCCACTCATTTAACATGAATTTCTGCTTCCGTTCAGCTGTCTGTGTTACCATTTTCAAAACCTCCTTTGCTATGGGAACCAACAACAACCTCTGAGCAGCATACGAGCAAGTTTTAAATAATGTTTCATTCAGTAATGCAGGCCTGCTTGATTCTTATTAGAATTATTGTAATGATCACCTCCCTGCATGCAAATGTTGCACAAAAAAATCCAAACATCACTATTTTGCATGAACCATTGCTGCATCCTTTGCTTAACACCACCAAAAACTACTGTAATGTGATATGAAAATAACAATAATGAGCCAGAGAGCTTTTGTTTCCTACAGCAGAACGTTAACGAGGTGCAGTCAGACCGTTCTTCAGCCCTGACACAGTGCTGTGGATATAGATGGGACTATGCAAGACGGCATATTCGACAAAAAAACATAAAGCGTTAAAACATTTCAATTACAAAAATGCCGCCTGCTTTTCTTTGTGTTGTATTGTAACTGAAATACAATCATCCACTGACGATCTGAGGAGTGAATCATTACGTTGTTAACCCCCCTGCAGGTTTAAAAGGCAAGTTATCTTTAAACCTTGCCAATAAAACAAAAATGGTAAAAACAGAAAGAATCGTCTGATTTATTAATTTTTTGGCAGTTCTTGAACCCACGATGTGTGAAATGTGGGAAAATGAACCAAATCCAAGCATGAAATTGTGACATTTTATCACTTTATTCGACATGTCTTATTAAAAAACAACCCGTTTGTACGGGCAGCTGTGGCTCAGGTGGTAGGCCGAGTCAGCCAATGATCGTAAGGTCGGAAGTTTGGAAGTTCGATTCCGGCCTGTAACCTGTGTCATGGTCATTGTGTCCTTGGGCAAGACACTTCACCCACCTGGCCTGGTGTGAATGCGTATGAATGGACTGTGTGCGGTGGTGGTTGGAGGGGCAGAATGGCAGCCACGCCTCAGTCAGTCTGCCCCAGGGCAGCTGTGGCTACAATCGTAGCTACCACCACCGGAATGAATGTGTGTGAATAAATAATTGACAGTGTAAAGCGTCTTTGAGTGTCTAGAAAAGTGCTGTATAAATCTGATCGATCATTATTACTAAGTTCTCAAAAAAAAATTAAGACTTTGACTCATTGTCTCTTCATTTGGCTGAACTGCAGGGTGTGTTTAGAGAGAGCAGACAGAAGACAAATATGGAAACAGATTAGAGAGATTGAGAGCAAATAAAAGCATACTTGAGCAATAAAATAAATCCAGCACGGCTCACAAACAGTGTGCAAAGGACCAGGTTGTCAATAGGCTGTTGGAAGTCACATCTAGTATTCAGTAATATCTTTCTAGAGTTGATAAGCAGAGAAGAGTTTGTAGACAACCCCAGCATTACTAACACCCAAGGCAGATTGGAAATATTTGTATACGTTTATTCCATTTTTTTCAATTGCTGTAAAATAAATAATCAAACAAATTAATTGTTTTTTTTAATGATTTAAAGCTTGTCATGCTCCGTAAAACACATATTTGAGCTCTTTCTACTTCTAGTCACGGTTGTGCAGTTTCCATGAACGCAGAGCGAGTAAAACGTGACAGAAGCAAAGAAAAAAACACCCAGAAAGTGTTTTGGGTTCAGCAAGTTAAAGAAAAAGAAAGAAAAAATGTAGCATTTATCCAAACTTTGACTCAAAAAAATGCACATGTCGGCACACTGACGGTATCTGAGTCATAATTTAGAAGCAAAACATGCATAAAAACAGAGCGTGTTGTAAATTGCAATTAGTGTTAGATGAGTCTGATGAATTAGAATAAATTATCACCACTTGATAAAACTGTTCATCATATTTACAATCCCCTAACAATATTTACACCAGAGCCCAAGAACTACATCAACACATTTATAGCATCTGTCTGGCGTCCATTCTTTGTCTTCACCATCAGCTCAGACAACCACAGACGGAGATAACGGAAGAAAACAGGTCTGTCAAGTATTGGCTTTATCGTGACGGGAGACAGCTATAAATATATAATTCCACAATATCTAACTGTGCTTTCTCTGTAACAGTGTGTTTGTTTATCGTCTGCCGTGCGAGTTCGACTCTCCGAGGAGAAAAAGAAGCACAGACGCAGCCGGCACGTAAAGCTGTCAAAGTCGCAGATGTTGGGGTGAAAGCACTATAATTGTATCATGGAGAAAACTGCCATTTTCAGGAGGAAGGTGGGAAACAGAAATAATAGTCTACACGGACGCATTAGCACATGTTGTAATTTGTTGTTGTTACGGATATTAGGTCAGGAGTTCACGGATGATGCATGAGCTGTTACGTCTTTCCTCGGGTCATTATGTAACGCGCTGCAACAATTCCCGTTTGCTGTTTTCACATAACCCAGACTGGACACGACCTTGGCTCCAGCTATTCTCTAGTGGAGCAGCCATGATATCACCCCGACTCCCTTCAGCTGTGATGTCAACCAGCTTTCACAGGCTCCGGTCCAGAGTCCAGACTCAAACCTCTGGCGCATTTCAGCAGCTGTGAGGCAAACCGACTAACCTTCAGTTTTGCAAACATCCTTGAACCTCCAGCCCCGTCGTCTTCTACAGCTCCAACCTTCCTACCAAAAACACGCTCTTGTCTGTGTGTTTACTCACAGGTGGGGACGGACACTTATGAAAGCTCATGTATTAAACAACGCCATCTGTTTTTGAGGCCGGCCAGCTGCGGGAGAAGAAGGCGCGACAGATGACGTGGTGTTAGTTTATATATTCAGAGAGTCATTAGCACTAATCATTCACTGTAACTGTACGCCATGACTCGACTGACTTCACGGTCTGAGTAATGATGAGAAAGTGGAGCAAACTTTTCTGGACGACTGACAATCTGATCTAACTACGCTGGTCCATGAGCTCAAACATGCCCACAGGTTCTCAGTCACTGGCCTCGGCTCTGCTTCACTGTTGCACCTTTTAAATCAGTCACTTATATTTAAGTAAATATCAGCCTGGCTCTTGCTCCCAAGGACCTTCGCAGAGTCATGATGTAAAGAACTGGCTGCACATGAGATGTCAAGTGATTTCCAGATGCTTGCAGGAAAAAAAATGGAGGCAATAACGTTAGCGATGGGAACATTAATGTGTTGGGAACCCATGCTGTGGTGGGAATGTGGAGCTGTATGAGAAATCATACCGCCGTTCTTACTCAACTTTGTAGTGTTGCACGGTATAGCAATACAAGAAAGGCATCGTAATGCAACGTCTTTAAAAGGATACTACTCTCCATTTTACCATTTTAATAGTACCAACACTTTGAGAATGTCAGAGTTTTAATAAAAGCTGTATTTCTGATGGAGTGCTTCAGTGTCTGACAGCGGTGCAGTGTGTTTGAGCAGAACTCTGATTCCACTCCCTGCAGGCATAGCAGGCACGCAAAGCGCTGTTTTTCCTTTTCTCTTGCGCACAATATAGATTTCATGGTGATAAAATGAGAGGCATACTTGCTTTTGCCGACGGTGCATGGAAAAGAAGATGTACAAAGCCAAATGTGGCATTATTTTGCTCTCAGACAACAGTCAGGAAGAGCCCACAGACACCGCAAAACCTTCTGTAAAAGCCGTTGCAAACCTAAACTGAAGAACCGAATATGTCCAGCTTAACAGAACAGACATGCCAACGAGTTCAAAGGATTCAGACAGCGACACTTCAGCGAATGTGACAGACAACATAATTATATCATACCTTTTTTGGCCATTGGAGTTTGATGAAGCAATAACTTTTCAATTTGCCTTTATCTTCTCAGATAATTCGACAATGTGGCACAAATCTATACAAACACAGCTACCACACTACTAATGATAGCCAAGGTCAGGTAACTCGCAAGCTGCTAACAATCAAGAGTTCACAACTATGACACCAGTTATAAATGATCACCTGCAGAAAGAGTGAAGGTGGGAGATTAAAATGTGCACTAAACTACTGCTGCACTCATCTCATGCAAGGATTTTATCATTTATGAGCATCAGAAGGTAGAAATATGAGATTGTGTCCTATTCTTTAAAACAACAAACACACTGTAGAAAAGACTGCACTGCATTGACATTATCATTGTCAATATTTTCTTCTTCTTCTTTTTAAATAACTAATTAAATTACTAAGTTCCACGTTCTGCCATTTATTATCTCCTCACTTTTCTTGATGTTTTAGTTCTTGCCTTGTTATCATTCCAGTATTGGTGTCAGTATATTTAGGCAGGTATCCTATCGATGTCATAATGTTGAGCTTTTACTGAGGCCTTTATAGCTCTGTTACCAACCAGCCCACTAAAGGAAAGGAGAAGTTACAAGAAGCAGCCAGGTGGAAGCTGCTTAACTCAAATCTGATTCTTTGTTTTTTATATATATATATATATCAAAAGATAAGTAAACACAAATTTAACAGAACAGAATTTGCAGAAAAAGGGAGGAATTGAAATTGGGGGATGCTACTCAAAGAAAAGAAAATAATATACCAAAACAATGTTCTACCTGAGGTTATTAGCACTTATCTGTTCTGATTAAATGAATGAACCAATTAACCACCTTCATGCCTGAAAAAAAAAAATCCCAGACAAGCCCCTACTTTGTTCCAACCCAGCTCTCTAGAGCCACGACAAGCTCTGCATTGGTGTGAACGGGTTCTCTTCGAAAGAAATATAATTCAGTTTAAAGGCATTTGGCTTCATCGCTTAACATCGTTTGAAGTGTGAAAGTTCATTGTCAACCTAAAATTAGTGGATAAAAACAAGTAAATAGCACTTGGGACGTCCAACAAAAAAGGTTCAGGGTTCTTGCATTTATATTCTGATTGTGGACTAACCACAACAACTTCTTCGTGCTGCAAAAACTGAAGTAAATATGAGCTTTCTGGTGTTAATTCACTATAAAGCACAGCAAACCAATAATTCTATCAAACGCTCCATCTTTCCTACAAGCTGGAGGTGGACTATCTGGTCCTGGACATGACAAAACCCTTCTTTTGGCTCACTAGCATTAAGAGTTGCATAGTCATGTAAACACTTTTGTGGGAACCATTCAGATAAATTTCTGCCTGAGAGAAAAAATTGGCTCATTACACTGTAGTGGACTTGTTATGGTTCCTGAGTGAGGAGTTTGAAGAGGCCGCTGGGGAAAAGGACAGCTGGCTTCATTCATTCAGTCTGTTTCCTTCGTGACTCTCATTTGGCTCTCCGGCTTTAAAATCCTGCATATGGAGAACTTGTTTCTGGGGTTTTGGCAACAAGTGTTCAGAGTGACATTAGTTCAAATACCTTGCAGGTCAAAAAGCGAGCTGGCGTCGGTGGCTTTCTCCGACGGTGCCTGGGTGATGGGTCGCAAGAAGGAGCGGTAGCCTTTCAAAATGGCTGCCATGAAGCGCAGGAAGGCTTCCTGGATCTCCAGCTCTAGCGTATGGAGGCTCTTCCCACAGCTCAGCTCGGACGTGTCGCTCATGCTCAACTCCAGCAGCCCATCAGGCCGGTACTGACCTGCAGAGACAGAAAAATAGCAGCTGTCACTACATATTAGCATCTCAAGCTTCATGTCAACATCAAAGTTGAATCACGTCGTCCAACCGAGGCTGCTGCTGAAAGTGCTGCATCATTTGCATTTTGATGAAGTCACTGCGATCAAAGCACATGCACTGAAAGGCCTCATGCCTGTGCTGGTTATAGTGTTTAAAGAGAGACTGCAGACTTTAACATGCTTTTTGAGCTGTAAACCAAATGATATGACTCCACTGTGATGAAATTTTACAAACGTATTTTTATTTTTAAAACTGCATCTCATGAGTTGAATATGCATTTTGCAAGACTAATGCTGATGAAAAGTGTACTTGCAATGCAGGCGTGAGGTGACGAAAATATAACATGAACTACACCAAAGTCTGTGTTTTTAGACTTTTATTTTTGGTTGCTATGACGACTTCAACTGTGACGTCAACAAGCCAAAACAGCAACAAACCCAACAAATAGTAGTTATTGGATGTAACTCCAGTTCTATGAGCGCATAGGAAATAGAAGAAAGGTTTGTCGCATTAGACTACATGGTGAATTTTTACAGTGAAGAGGACAATGTTTGAGGTAAGAACCTACCCTGAAGTAAATACCGATTACTTCCCCAAAACAGTGTGAAAAGGGTTCTACAGAACACACCCAAAGGTTTGGGCTGTTCTTAAACATCCAACAAGTGGCTGCAGTGGAAAGACTAGGAAGCATTTTTCAACTGATCAGTGTTGGCATGAACCTAAACACGATCTCTCTTGTTTATGTCCTTGGTTACACGTGTTGTTGTGCTTAATAATTTACTTAACCCACTTTTTTCATCATGCACTCATAATGCTGTAAAAGCCACAGAAACATGACACAAAGGCCATCATTAGAAATGCCACTGGGATGGAGGAATGTTGTGTTGGATCCTGTCTTGGTTTAATATTTGAGTGCAGGCTGGAGGTCATAATGCGCCACAGAAGACTTGCCATAGTTCCTTTTTAACTACGGTACTTGAAGTATGCAATATGTAGGAAAATCTAATCTGGTGTCAGGAGATGCTAAATAATAAACGATTGGGATCAGATGTGGGGCAACAACAACAAAGAAAACTTGATTGGAACACCCCTAGTCATAAGATTTTAATGAAATAGATGATGATTATGCACTCAGAGATGGGCTGTCCAGCTCCTTCAACTAATACCCTTCAGTGGGAGTCGTTATTAACTTTCATTTTTTAATTTTGGTGCAATGGTTTGGACTTGTGCTCTGGGTTGCGTTCTTTCCCTTCAGAGCCTCAGTCTACAATCCTTCTAACTAAGGTTATCACTCAGGGGCTACCCTCTTGCACTTTCACCTTCCTGCCAAGAGCTCCAGCTTTGAACTGGAAGCAGCGGCTTGAACTGAAACTGCTCGGCACCACCCTGGTTCTTCACCACAGTAACGTCCACTTCAGGGGTTCTGGAGGGGTCAAGTCCTGCACATCAGAAGAACCCGTAGGGGTGGCAGGTTCTGTGCTGCTACAGCCTGGGATATTTTTGCATTTAATAACATGACTGTATAGGAAGTGCAGACACCTCTAATTCATACGTCTAGCAAGTTCATTTTGTCTACTCTGAATTAGTATCTAATTCAATTTGAATGAGTCAAAAAGAACCTTATAAAAATTCACACCATCATTCTTCTAATTATGTCACACAATACATATATCTGCATCTGAATTATTGTAGTTATACTTCCAGCTTTAGGTCCATACAGTTTAAACCTGACTAGCTGTAATGCTACTTCAAGATATCTTTAATTCCCTTCAATTAAAGATATCAACATTTTCCTTTTCACATATCTTCGATTAAATCTGAACTCATCGAAATGATATTACTGATTTCTTTGAACTAATCAAAATGACGTTGCAGACAACAAGTTGGGATTCTGCAAAATCAAAGAGTAAATATCTTCAACTAGAGTTTTGACCAGGCGAAATAATGTTGCAGACATCCGTAGTTATTAAGCCAAGTGGCTTGATTTTCGAATATATGAAGCCACTGCAACTGTAACCGCATGTGACGAGCTGTTTTATAGCCATGTCAGAGAAGCCTGAAGCCAAACTTCTAGTAAATGTAGACCACAAGTCTCCAATAAATACAATTCTTGTTCTCCATAAACGCCTTCCTGATAAGTTTGTCATATTTCACGGCATTTTCGAACCATTATCTACCACAGCAACCACCGTAACTTCTGTTAGTAACACTGTTTGCAAATCCTCTCCTAGATCCATATTTAATGTGGAAGCCTTGCATGAGCAACAACAATCTGACGTTTGAGATATCTGGTCAGAACTAAGCAATGTTCATCTAGAATGAAAAATACTGACTAGTCACAGTGTAATCATGACTACAATGACATTGCTGATGTCTGTAGCTTTACTTCATATAGTCAAATTTAGCAACTCCTGCCTCACACATTTAGTATTTTTCAAGTCATGCAGAAGGTGGACCGAGCCTCACAGCTAGCGGGGAAGTTAGACTTTCAGTAAGTAGTGGCAAATGAGGATTAGCATTATGTAATTTACAATGAATAACCTCCAGTTGATATCTGCTTTTCCAAAGGTCCAAGAGGCTTAACTGTCTCAACTAAAACCTCTGGCATGCATATCAATATTCAGCCATTCTGGCAGCGACTGGGTAGATTTTCAACTTCACTGAATCAGAAAATTCATTTATTCAATTTATACAGCTCAATAAGCAGCAGGTTTCATGGTCTCAGTGAGTGTGGCTCTCGAATCGCAGACAAAGTTGACAATAACACAGCGAGCGACACAGCAGGGCAGACGGCTAATTAGGATATTATGCTATGATGGGATTATGGCTGGCTTTCAGTTTGTTGAATGGATAGCATAACAATGCAGACTTAATGGAGAGAAAATGGTCAAGACAATAGAATCAAACACTAAAAATGATGAATGGAGCAAAGCATACCTTGTAAGAACCCTTAACAGCCATATGTAGATGTTTTATTTATTATATTTGATTACAGAGAAGGTCATCAGCAGAAGAAATGTGTTTTTCACCACAACATGATCTAAGAGGAGGTTAATTCTCAACCCTGACACCTTCTATTCAGCTCCAGTAAAAAAAGAGCACCTAATGAAGTGTGCTTTACCATACATGCATCAAGAAAGTCACTCAACAAAATCAAACAACTGGCATCACTTTTTTCCCACCAGCTTATACATCAGCTCAGTACTCACCGTCAACCAGCTGCTGGTGGAGATTGCTCAGCACATTCATTAGGTTTTTACAGGCTTTCTTTGGCAGGATCTTCCACGTGAGGGCTCGCTTATCTTCATTGCTGGAAAAGCAGAAGCACAAACTGAGCTCTAGAGAGGCTGAGTGGCCAAAAACAACACAGACAGCGGTCGGGCTGGGGGTTGCTCAGACCACCCCGGCGCTGTGTGGCCGGTAATGAGGCCAGAAATGATGTGAACCGTTACTGACCTTACCTGGAGCACCGGAAAATTGCATTCTCTTCATATTAAAATGAGTCTGACACTACAAAAACAACTATTTCCACCCAATCTATAAGAAAGTGGTCTGGTCGCTAAACTGAGAACTCCTGACCTGGCAGCTTTGTGGTCTAGAAAGAAATGTTGAGGAAGTGCTGCACAGCATATGTGTGGATTACTGCACTGCAGTTCAGTCTACACAAAATTACACAATACATCATTCATCGTGAGAAGGCAGAAGATGGTGAAGATTAACCCTCTGAACCCCAAGACTCGCCGGTGGGTTTGAAAAGCATGTTATCTTTTTAGAAGTAGCCATAATTATACTATTAATCATAACTGAAAACTGTAAAAACAGAAGGAATCTTTCAACTTCCCAAAGGTCCTTGAACTACTCGACGTCCCATTCTGACTCAAAACTTAACCAAATCCAAGCTTACAATTGTGGTATTTCTTCAAAATCCCTTTAGTCTTTGTCTTCTTTGAAAATGTTGCAAAAATGTACTGTTTTTACCAACCAGACTCTGCAAAAAACCAAAGAGTCTGAGTTCCTTGGTGCCTGCAAGAAGCCATTACTGATTCAGCTGAGACATCAGTCACTACTGGGCTGAACTGGAGGCTTAGACAGAGTAGACAGGAGACAAGTATGAAAACAAAATATAAGTAAGAAAATATCTATAGTATGTAGAGCCTGCACGTGGATACTTGGAGAAAATCTGTACATGCTGATTCCAGGTTGTTTTTACATTTGTTCATGATTTCTGCCATTGTAGCTCTGTCATGCTGCACAAAAGACATGTTGAGTTCTCTGTCTGCTGCTCTGCTGTTTCCATAGAGGTGCAGGACTTCATGTTGCTGTGAAAAACAAGCCCAGATTGAGTAAAACTACAACAGGAGCAAAAAAAAAAAAAACACCCAGAAATTGCTTGGGTGTCAGAGGGTTAAGGTTCTGCAAAAATGGGCATTTTACAGATTTCCTTCTTCACATCCGCTGCTTGCTTACACAACTACAGATACATGAAGGTTTTAGGTTTGGTACTCACTGGAAGATGGTGTTAGTGTCCAAGTCCACGCAGCTCACATCTGGCGGTGGATCATAAAGATCAAAGTAGCGAGAGTCCACTCCCACAATGAAGGGACAGGGGGCGCTCAGGACGTCAGCCAAAGCCAGGGGGCAGAGAGGGATATAAGGGCATGGCCAGTGGAACGGAAAGATCATCTGAAGAGGAAGATGAAGATGAAGAAGAGAACTGTGAGATGAGCAAGACTACACAGAACTAAGCTGCAGCACTTTCATTACCATGTAGCTGGTTTATCAGTGTTGTTTCAAGGATCAGATTTATATATAGCGCTTTTCTCGGCACTCAGAGACGCTTTACACTGTCAATTATTCATTCAGGCGGAGCCACAATTGTAGCCACAGCTGCCCTGGGGCAGACTGACAAAGGCGCGGCTGCCATTCTGCGCCTACGGCCCTCCGACCACCACCTCAAACAGTCAGTTCATACGCATGAAGTGTCTTGCTCAAGGACACAACGACCATGACGCAGGCTACAGGGCGGAATCAAACCGCCGACCTTCCAATCATTGAGCGACTCACTCTACCACCTGAGCCACGTCGCACTACACAAGCACATTAATAGTATAGTGTGGTCGGTATCAGTTGGGCCTTGAGCCTTGAGCTGACTTTACATTACTTGAATCCAGGCAATCATATGCACAACTGATCACGTCAAAGAATTCAAATTCTGATTGTGGATTTTGAATCTACACCAAGGCATCAGCATATGATCTCTTGGGCAGATCGCCCACCTGTAGTGTGGTCAGATTTATATGGTGGATGAGCCTCCTACAGAAAAAAACTATATCTCAAAACCATCTTCTGATAACATCACTGAAGCTGGATGAGCTATCTGCTACACACTTGTGCTCCATCTGTTCAACAAAATGTATGAATTTCTCCCGCGTTCTCTCTCTGGAATCTTCCAAACACATTTGTATTAAAGAAATTCCAGAAGCGACATATTAATAGAAATGACCAAAGAAACTGTAAGTGCTGCAGTTTACTAAAAAATATATAAAAATTAAGTGTAAAACAACAACATGGTAGAAGAGAAACACTCTGCTGGTCAGTGTTGCTCTCAGATTTGGATAAAAGCATCTGCTAAATGAAACTGTAGAATTGTAGTGAGTGAGTGTGGGGAGTAAAACTTCTCTGTCCAGCTGAATGCATTAACTTACAGACACCAGAGCCTCGGTGACACTGGTCAGAACAGCCGGTCGTAACGAGTGGACCAAGATCTTGTGTTCAGTGACGGCAAACACCAGCAAGGTGACGGCATTTTCTGGTCCGAGGTTCTGGAGCAGTGTGGAGAACCGGCCGCCACTACAACAAACAGTGAAGTTTAATTCAAATCATTGCCTATGTTTCTAGAAGGAACTATAGTACAGTACAGTCGCTAAATCTTTTCTATTCCTTGAAAATATTTTAGTTTTTTAAAATGCTCTTGATACCAGTAATATCAGAATTTGTCATGTTTTCAGAGCTCAAAATAAATTATGCAGAACAGATGTTATTTGCTATTGAAGATGTGTCAATGTGTTCTCATTTTAACAAATCTGTCTAAGAAATCATCAGCACCTCCAAGGTTAAAACAAATATTTTGTCTGTTGTATGCTAATGTTTGGAATCTGGGCAAATGACATTTTTTGCAGCTTTTTAAAGTGAAAAAAAGTAAATAAAACCCCTGCAGCAATTGCACATATTTCTACAAATGCTGATGCAATTCTATTTTTTATTTCATGACCTCAAAAAGCATCAGGTAATTCTTTTGACCTTGATTAATCCTCTGAGTCTTCACATCTTGTGGTAACACTCAGCAACCTTGAGTTGCACAAAGCAAATGACTCAGGATCTGAAAATGAAGCTAATTGACGCCTACAAAGCAGGGAAGGCTATTAAAAGATATCAAAGCACTTCCAGCTTGCAACTTCCACTTTGAAAATGTCATTAAGAAATGGTAGTTAAGGATAACTGTGGAGGTTAAGACAAGATCTGAAAGAGCAAGAAAACTTTCAGATCAAACTGGAGAAAAACAAACGAGCTGCAGAAAGGTTCAGCAAAGTCCTTCTGGACAAGTCTCAGCACTTGGCACACATCTGGTAACACTTCCGGGCAGTTATTCCTGGCGAACAAGCAAGAAACAAGCTATGTAAAGGAATAAAAAGGAGCCATAACTGTCATTTTCATGGTCACCAGAATATAATAAGTTGCATGTAGAAATCGTCGGTTAAATCTCTTCAAAAATGTCTTGACAGTTTGCACCAAAATAAGGTTTAAATTGAGTTTTTCTTAACACATTATACTTCTTATGCGTACAGTTTCTCAACTTCACGCTTGTACCAGTACAAGAACATGACTGGCTTGATGCTTCCCAGATCATCTGTTAAAAAGCAGACGACTGGTTAATTTAAGGGAAGCGTTGATCATGTGTTCAGGATTTTCCCATAGATTTCTCTTCAGGAAATTTTTATCGGCGAGTCTCTCCAGTTTTGCTGCCACAGGTGTGGTGGTGCGCCATTGATGCACAAACAGGTTGACAAGCAATCTTTATCTGAAGCTTCACCACAAAGCCAATGTCTGAAGTCTGTAGAGCCAGGCGACATCTGATTAAGTCAGTTTGGAAACAGGTGCTGTGGACAGCTCAAGATGAGCTCTCTGGCAACAGCCACCAAAGAAAACATCTCAGACTATGTTCTTCCACTTATCCAGAGTCAGGATGTGGTGGCAGGAGACTAAGCAGACCCTCTCTCCAGAAAAACTCTCCAGTAGATATTCCCGGCTAGATGAAATATGCCATCTTTTCTGGTTCTACCCTGGAGCCTCCTTCTAGTTGGAGAACCTCCAGAGGAAGTCGCCCAGGAGGAATCGGATGCCCGAACCACCTCAGCTGGCTCCTTTCAACACAAAGGAGCAGCAATTCTACTTCAAACTCTCTCTGGATGTCCAAGCTTCTCCCACTATCTCTCAAACTGAGCCCAACCACTCTTTGGAAGAAACTCACTTCGGTCGCTAATATCCGCCACCTTGCTCTTTCGTTTAATACCCAGCACCCATGATCAAAGGTGAAGGTTGGAATGTAGACTGACCGACAAATCAAGAGCTTTGCATTCCAGCTCAGCTCCACCTTTACCACAATATTCTGGTACAACACCTGGGAGCAGCATCTGACAAAAAGAAATCCCTGATTGTTCAGTAGGGGGGTAGAAGTATTCTACTTTGGGGTTGTGTGGCAGCCAGTGGAAAAGGAAACTAGATTCAACTAAAACCCCGAAAATTCTGAATGTAAATGTCATCCAGTCAGGTAGACACAATGAAAAGAGTCAGGTTTTTCCAACAGACAACAATACAAAACAAACCTTAAAATACACTATAAATTACTTCAGAAAACACAAGCTGAAGCTTCTAAGTTGACCCTCACAGTCTCCTCACCTGAACATCTTTGAAAATCTGTGGCTAAAGTTGCTCTAGACTAAAAACACCTCAAAACTTGAAGTGATCTGCAAGCTAAAGTGGCTAAAAATACTAAATATTAGGAATGTCATGACTCTGAGGTGGCCACAGAACTTGTGATATTTATCAAAGGCTACTAAGAGTTGAGAGTCCACATGCTACGGTTACTGTTTACCTTTTTGTGCTTTTCAATGTCAAGATATAAAAAGCGGTAAGTGTGGTTCATTTTTAATGCCTGTGTGTGCTGCAGGGGTTGTATTTACTTCTTTGTACTTCTGAAATACATAAAATATGTAATTTGCCCAGAGGTGGTCAAACCTTTAACCATTAAAAATTGCTTCTAACCAAAAACCTCTTACCTGAGCGGCAAAGGAGACGACACGGGCTGGCTCAACATCAGGCTGTCATGAGGGGAAAGCTAAAGAAAAGCTGGAAAGTGAGATAAAACCAACCGAGCAAAAAAAAGAAAAAAAAAAGTCTGCACTGAATCATTCAAATGTTCATCCATAATGGAGGAACCTAAACTACTGTTCCCTCAGGCGATGGAAGACACCTTCAGAAAGCAACGCGACTTTCTGCAAAACGGTGATTACCCGGTTTCTAAAAAGCACCGCATGCAGCAAACATCACAGCGACACTGGCAATTAAAACTCACCTGCACCAGGATGCGAGGCCTCTGAGAGGACGGGAAGGGAACTTTGTGCATAAAGTGAGAGATGTGCCTAGGAAGAAGAATTAGAGGGATGTGAGGCCAAAAATAACAGCAGTGGGCGGCTGAGTAATCCATCAGGGCAACCACCTTGAGTTATGAGCAGCAGTGAAACATGAAAAGCATTTTCTGTTACACATTAGCTGGTCGGCATAATTTCAAGGAACCTAAATCAACTCTACCCCGGTGATGTGTTTTCCATTCATGCAGCTATTTTATCATCAGGGATCCCCCATACGTAGAGAAAAACTAAAAAGCCAAATTCTTTCCAGTACATTAATAGAAATATTTTAGCTATGAAATTAAGAAAAAACTGCAGGTATTCTCGGCAGCCCCCTCAGATGCACTGAACTTTGGAAACTGATGATATCCCTTCTGATTTAATGGCACAATATAGTAAATTCCAATAGAAGAAACTTGCACTTTTGCCCAAGAAAAACTTCTATATTTGAAATACTATCAGGTAATGCGATATCTCCACATAGCAAAAGACGTATTGGATAAGACTAAAGTATATGTGAAATCACCAGAGCATAAAACAGCGAAATGAAGAGAAAACAAGAGAGGACTCACTTCTCAATGGGGAGGGCGTGAGGGCCGGAGATGGAGTAGCGATAGAGGAATGTGAGGAACTTGCGGAAAGCGTCGAAGAAGGGCCAGTGGGAGAGCAGGCAGATGCACTTGTTGGTGTGGACCGAGCGAGGAATGGCGGGGCTGGTCGTGGCGCTGTTGGTGGCAGCAGCCGCGGTGTTGGAGGAGGAGGAGGGTTTGTCCGGGTTCAGGAGACCCAGCTGAGAGCGCTGCTGATCGGTCAGACACTCCGGCGGGTAGGGCTCGTAGAACTGGATGGCAGCACCGTAAACCTAAAAAATAGAACAGAGGCACAGCTCAACATCCACAGTTTATAAAATCGTGTCTGTCGTGTATAAACAGTCTGAAGCCACGCTGCATCTCTTCATGAATTGGTGATGTCACAACGCAACAGGGAGACGGAAAGGTTTTGCAAGTTTAAAAAAAAGTGGGTTGCGACATAATGACCACGGGAAAATGTGGGTCCCAGGGTGAGACCAGTTGAGAACCCTTGCCCTAAAAGATTCCATCTCAGGTTTTCAAAGGCCAACGTAAGATCGTAAAAGTGTTTGTTTACCTGACCAACAACTAAAGCCAAAGACATTCAATGTCCAATGATAAAAGACAAAGAAAAGCTGAAAATAATAGCAAGCCTGCCCAACAAATCTTTGCTATTTAGCTTAAAAATTTACATAAACTATTGAAGCATTTGCCAAGATTTTTTTGCTGATCAACCAATCAGCTCTAATTACCCAATTAACTACTTACAGAAATGTTTGTATACACACACACTCACTCACTCACTCACTCACTCACTCACATGTCCACGTCTGTGCTGCTGGCCTGTTTAACAAGGTCAGAGTCTCCAGTGACTCTGCCTCTCCCTGCATCCTCCACCATAGACTCGATGCAATACATTAATGCACAACTTTTTCAGAATCTCAGGTTGTTTACACCATGTGCTTTGTAAACTTGCACATTGTCAGCCAAATGATTTGCACAGTTGCACTTTCCTGCACATTGTAAATACTTCTATTATGGTTTCATCACTTAAATTCCCTGGATTTGTCACACTTGCTGTTTATTTGACTTTTTACACTGTTCTTTATTTGTCTTGAAACATTGACTGTATGTGTCTTTCTAATTTCCTTGTGTGTGAAAACTTACTTAGCAATAAACCTCATGCTAAATCTAATCTGCCAAACTGTTTTTCTGAACCAGTTCAGGTTTTCATGTTTATTTTGTGCAGCCTGTTGTTAAAAACCTAACCAAAGTGCTGCACGTGTTTTAAGACAGGCAACAACACATGGACAAATATGTGGACAAAAAGCACAACAGAAAACAAGAAAATAACTTTTAGAATCAATTTGCAGAACAAAATAAAATAAACAGAAAATACTAAAACAAATTTAGCCTAAAACCCCATCTCAGCCTTCCAGCAGCCCTCTGTGAGGACTTTCCAAAATGTCCCAACTCTCAGTCTAATTACAGCAGAAGCACAACAACACACCATCACATACACACAACTGAAAACTCTTGTCATTGTTTGACAAATATTTTCCAGAGGACCTGGCCAGCTAATAATAAAAAGGAGCAGACAGTTCAGAAACCTCTGAGCACTTCTGTGAATTGACTCTGCACTCTGAGGTAAAAGGAAATATCAATAAGCAGACAAATAAAGTGAGCACAGTGCACCGTTGTTTAACCTTTATTGAACATGCATACCATGAGTGCCAGCTGTGGGCCAAACAAACAGCGGTTAGCTGAGCCAGAGTCGGCACCAGCCCAAATAAATCCCCTCCGCTTCCTGGAAATACGAGACTTTCCCAATTCATGCACACATCAAAGCTAGCGGGCTTATCTGCTGTGCCGCCGGTGTGGGTGGGTCGCTTTTCAGCATTTTCCTCCAAAAGGGACTGAGGTGACCCGTGTTTTTGTTTGCTGCCATGAGTGATCTGAGGAAGCCTGTGTGTTTCTGTGTGTATGCTCAGAAACAAGCCGCTTTCAAGTAACAGCATTGTGTTGCTAAACTACAAATATATGATGCTTGTGCAACACACAAAAAAAATCAACAGTCATGCTGGTTTGTTTTCTGGGTTTTTCAAAGTAAAGGCATTTCACCAACCTCTAATTATTCAAGGGCCTCAATTTGGGTTGCTCTGGCTTTGTTCTGTATTTAAAACAACCTACACATATACAAACAATCAGGACCGAAACAGAAGACACAAATTCAATCTAAAATGTAGAAACTGTGAAAAAAACCCAATATGAAACGTATTTTTGAACAAACCACAATACATTGGATTTTGGATCATGTTTAAATTTTAGTGTAAGTGTGGGGAAAGAGTTTCTGTTTGAGTTCAGATAAGTTTTGACAACTTAAAAGTTTAGTTTAGGCAGCAGTGAAAGAGCATTTTCTCAAGTTCTGCACTCTAGTTTGAACTTTTAGTACTTTTCTCATATATTTTCATCTTTTTTTATGCAACTACTTCTTTTCAGAGGGAAACACATATGACTAAACATTTACTGAACACTTTCAGTACACCTGTGAAATCCGATGTGACCCATTACAACACCTCTGCAACAAATTCTACTTTCACAAAGAGTCTTCCTTTTCTGTTTTTGTTGCCATTGCACCCAGAGGTGTACAAAATGTTAGGAACATTTTAAAATGTAGAACAGTCCAGTAAACCACCACCACCACCCACTATAACCTCAACAGGAAGCATTAAGTAGAACCGTCACCTTTTTAAAAATCGTCAACAAAAACTGAAAACGTAGAAACTTTGAAAAAGCAGAATTCATGGTATTGATGGTCAATCAGGTCTGTGCTCCATTTATCTGACAACTATGTATTAGTGACGTACAGAGTTTTTCAAATAAAACGTGATCAGTTTATAAAAACATGGTTTTAATGAAGCAGCTCAAAGCCGCTCCTCCTAAATTATCTGCAACAGTAAACTGCTGTTTATATGTTAATGAATCCGTAATAATAATAATTCAAAGGCACAAGTGTATAATTATGTAACACTGACGTGGCCATTGGACACAGTGAGAACTTCTATTTCTGATCCTTTCTGCTCTACTGAGTTTTGGGTTATATACAGAAGTGGGTGGCCAGTTGGAAATAAGAACGGCTACAACACACTTTTTCATTCAGTCACTCACTCAACCTATATTTAAATCCCGAGGACTCGTTGAGGGAAGCCCTTATTTCCCTTGATGCTGAGAGTACAATCAACAGAATAAAAAGGCAACAATCGACAGACACAAAGATTGAATGAAATAGAGGTAGAAGCAGCTATGTTCAGTACAGCTGCACCAAGCCTTTAACTGGATTGAAGGTAGAACAAGTTACAGTCATTGATGCCGAGGTTTAGTTAAGACGGTTCTCATGGTTATAGAAAAACACTGGGTGTGTGTGCACGTTGGCCAACAAGTCTCTCCTCAGTTAAACATGGAGTCTGCCGACTGCCAGAGTCCTGCTGAGTTTCTCTCTGACCTTGGCCACTGAAAGACAACTCAGCACACACACTCACCTAATATCCTCCTGCATGTGCTGCAGCAGGCCCTTCATTCACACACCTGTACACACAAACTGGACTCAGCAGCAGCAGCAGGGTTTGGCACAGGTGATCATTTCTGACCCCAAACTGACCTTGTTCTGCAAAGTTGCTGCTATTAAACACCAGCAGGCTTTGGGTGCTATTTGTTTTCAATCACGATTGTGTTTCAGCACATAGTTCAAGTGTCAACACACGGGTCTCATCCCGAACAGACTCCTTTCCAACCTCACAGATCAGCACAGTGGAAACCAAGAACTCGTGTGCAAATCTTAAAGTGGATTTATGCTTCATATTATAATGTGAGTGTTTGTTGGGCACGTTTAGTTGTGTTTCCTTATGACTGTCCAGTTGAAGGGTTTAAAGTTTGTTGCCAACACAAATGAGGACGGGACAATCATAAGGTGGGAAACAATATCAGGTGCCTTGAGAAGGAATTTTAGTTTTGACGAAACTCAAAAGAGCAAAAGTCCTGATCGGACGTTGGCTCAAACAATCCACTCGCTTGACACAGAAGTCAATTCACAAAGACATTTAACTGTTTTCAGAGGCATTATTCCCACTTATACGGTTGTAGAGACAAATAAAATTTAAATACACTTCGTAATCAACAATCTGCTGTTCTGATACGGCTGCTTTGAATGGTTGCTCTGGTTCAGTTTATGAGCCACCAGGCCACAGTGACACTGCTGTAAGGCACTTCAGCTCAGCTACAAAAGGAAAGATCTGGCCGGTAGGCATTAAGCACCACAGAGGACTTACTCACGGTGCCCCTTGCTGGCTAAATTCCCTCAATGCTCTCTGCTTACTGACACAAAACTGCCGGTATTCTGAGTGACCTCCTCTTCAGGTCGCTACAGTACTAAACTATAAGAACCAGCCCAACGTTGTGTTTTCTGACACGCATGTCCTGGGTCTTCTGCCTTATATGTCAATACATTTTTAACCGGTTTAGTTATGATTGTTAGGAAATTAATCAATCAACCAACAATTATTGGTAACCATAATTATTTTATGTTCATCTTATTTATTTTTCTACAAAGTTGAAGTTTTTAATTAGATAGTGCAGATCATTTAAATTCAGCCATTTTGTGTCTCATTTGTTGTTATTAATGGTTGTATGTTAATAGATGCAACAAACAACAACATTAAACTGCCATTATATTACATATTATATGTATATCTATCACATCTGACCCTGATGCTCTCTCAACAGTGGCACTGATCACAGAAAACGAGGGGTAAACAATTAAGAAGCGTTAAAATTGCAGTTTGAAACAATGCAATCAAAAATGCTAACTACATAATTAGACTAATGCTGTAGTTCAGTTTTATCAGATTTAAGTAGATTGAAACTGTCGGGTGCTGCCTGTGCTGCTCGACCAATGTGTACTGCATGGCTCAGGTACACGGTTCGACTGACCTAAGTCCAGTCACATCTCATATATGGGACACTAAATTCACCAGAAAACTAGTGTGCATCTAAACTCTGTCTTGCTCATCTGTGCCTGCACAATAGAAAGTGGGTGATTAAGACTGACAGAGTATTGTATTGTTGTTGTTGTCTGGGAAAACCTTGACAGCTCAATGATAATTCTGTAAGACTACAAAAAGAAACAACCTTGCCGTTAATGCAGTGGGAACGCATTTACTATTTTAGTGTTTTATTGATTGTTTCTTCATCCCGAAGCCTGCTCTAAAATAAGAAACCTATGAGGTGGAGTTACAAGGTTTTTCACCACACAATGGCAGCATGCCTGACCCACTTTTCCTCCTGGCATGCAGCACATTGTGGTTTTCTTGTGCCCCACAGTAGTGTGTTAGTCTGTGGTCGCGTCAGCTGTGTGGATGACAGTTGCAGTCTGTTGATGAGGTCTAACAGTCGCTGGCAGCCTCTCGTATCTGACGCTTGCTGAGATGTCTGTTAGACGCCCGGATGTGTGTGGAGGACAGACAGCGAATTTACCCATCCATCCGTCTTACCTTTTCTCCAGAGGCTCCGGTGAGGACAAAAGTGGAGAAAACAGGGAGGGAGTATTTGGTGTTGGCCGGCCAGCACTCGATCGTGGCCCCCATGGGAAGGCAGAAGAGAGGGACAGACTCTGGCAGAGGGAAAGACTCATAGTCCTCCTCTGGATATCTGCTGAATAAACCTAAAGGAAAGCACAAAAAAACAAGACAAACAAACTGAGAACTCAATTTAGAGAGCAGCTAAGGGCAAACGTCCCCTGTGAATACCAATTAAAAGCTAATGTAGATGCAAAATCGCCTTTCCAATAAGCTGAAAATGAAACAAAACAAGTTCAGTGTACTCTAATCACAATAATAATGTACTGCTTTATTGAGTCAACGTGTCACTGCAAACGCCCGACTGTGTAATAAGCAATCAGTCCGTACTAATCGGACCTCTGGGTAATTAGTCACTGTCGGCGGACACAAATAAGAAACAATGAAGTAGTTACTTAGTGCGCTTCTTTTTAACTCCGTGCTACATCTAACTTTCGCTGAAGGATGATGCTAAACAAGCAGCACAAACACATTTTGTGCGTGAAAAATAAATGTCTACCCAGTGACAACCCTTCAAACCAGCATCCAACATTTATTTCATAATATATTTATGTTAAACGCTGGGAAATTACACATTTAAAATGCACATTCAAGTGAATGATGAACTGCTATATGAATATTAACACACATTTCTGAAAATGAAGCATCTTTAGACACTTCGTTGAAAAAATCTGACACAATTATTTATTATTAAAACACTCTCAAGTGCACAGCTACATTATAACCCTGCTGAGGAAATAAACACAAATTGTTGACATGAAGGTTTAATCAGCAACTTGAACTATGGTGCACAGTTTTTACTAATTATCGACAGACTGATCGACCGAATAAAAGCAATTTTTGCAATCACACAATCTGGAACAATACAATCACAAAGGCTAATAAAACAAGTAGATTAATGCTTTAATGAATTTAAGTGAAACTTTGAGGGTTGTTTATGCTGCCCATCGACTAGTGTATAACCAGACAGCTACAGCTGATTCAAAACGCTGCTCGTGTCGTCACGAAGACCAGAAAAAGTGAAAGTCGATTTTAAAATACTGGCAAAAATACATTTCTGATCTGCTGCCACGTTATGAACCAGTCAGATCTCTCAGGTCAAGTCAAAACAAGGCACAAACAGAGCTTTCAGTTTTTACACAGTCTAATTCTTCTCTCACTTTTTTACTGCTTTAACTGAACAATAGATTCTGGAAAAGCTTTGCTCTGAAAAACGTAACTCTGCAGCCCAACACACATCTATTACCCACTACCAGTTTGTAAACCTCATTTTTACTTGCTGCCTTTAAATCCAATTTCACTTTTTTTTTATCTAACTTACACTCCTAACAAATGCCCTTGTAATTCATTACATTGTAATTTGCATTAGTTTTGTTGTGCTGGTTTTATTTGTTCTGGATTTTAATTGACTAATTAGTTTTAATTTATTTATAGTCTTTTTCTGTCTACTGGATTAACAGCAGCTTGGTTAATGTGTTGCTGTGTTTAAAGTGTTACATAAATAAACTGACTTGACTTATTATTTTCACAACTAAATGTTTGAGGCCAACAGATGAGTGTAATTTAGAGATTTTTCCATCTCTTTAGAAAAAGAATATTTCGCTGCTAGATGTTCCACTACCTTTACCAGCAGGTTGCCAACTTTCTCAGACCATCACTCAGAGCTTGACTGCTGAAATTAGTCTCCTGATGCTGCTGTAAAAGCAGCTGTTTACAACTGAGAACAAACATTAAATGTGCTGCAAAAGCAAATCAATTACCTAATAAAGGTTAATAAGCTCTGCTGAACCACAGAGTTATGATTTAATGTGTCATTCAGGCAGCCCCTTTCACATTACACTATGTTAATGTTAAATACAACAAATAATGCTATTTTAAGAATTAATTTAGTAAAAGGAGAAGGGCCAGCCAGTTCTCCTCTCTACAAATTACACAAACGTGTCGTGCACAGTGATAGATGTTGGGTAGATGCACTGACTTCATAGCTAAATGTGCTCATTCGCAATATTTCATTCCAAAACAACGACCGCGTATCCACCAAAACAAACTTATCTTGCTCAGTTCTGGATCAAACTGCCACATTTATAAACTCGATGCAGGCTGGATTTTCTGTGCCTGTATTGTTAAAAAATAAACGTCATTTCTGTGAGCTGACTCATCCGAAGCATCAGTGAGAAACAGATAGCATCGCTCCATTCACAGTCTGCTGCATATTCAAGACGTGTACAACAAAACATCAGCCAGCCAGCCAGTCGGAGGCTGAGCCAAACTCTGAGCCAAACAGCGTTATCGGAAAATGAAAATCTTCGGTCAGTGGTTTTTGGCACTGAAAATTCTCCATATTTAATGTGAAATGATCTTCATATCGTCATTGAATATAAGCTAACTATTTAAACCCTTTCACGGGGGATGATGTTGGCATGCAGAAGCTTATCTCATCGCTCCAATTCCGAGGCAGCAACATGCTTCAACAAGCCTGAACTTGCAGTAGTGCAGCCAGTGTACTCTGCAGGAGACCCTCCTCTCCACAGACAACACAGTTACAGCGAATACACAAACAGGCACTATGTTAAATGCAATATTTATGACCTGAGGATAAGTTCTAAGGGCTTCTGATTCAATTCATGGTTCATAAAGCCACAGGTTTATCTAAAATTGCACTCTATTCACCTTTTCTTACCAAAGAAGCCAATAATGAGAACTGAGGAAGGAGGGAAAGCATTTGCAGGCAACATGTTATTTGAGATGTCAGAGGTTCACATCAGTATTTGGATCTGTGTGCACTAGTAGTTATGGGATTAAGAGGCTTACCTGCTTTGTAGGCTATTGTGTTGGTTTTGGCCACAGACTTCTTATAACACAAGTAGACAGAGGAGCCCCACTGAAAGCAAGAGCAAAATGGGACAAGTTAGTGTGATGTCCTCTGTGAACAACATCGACGACCTTTTGATCAATCAGGAACAAAGCGCATAAAAATCTAATTTGGAAAAGTGTTCCCATAACTTCCCTTCAAAAGTGAAATTATGACCTAATTACATCAAATTAGAATCCTCATCAAACAAGTCAGTACAAGGACTATTCAGGTGTTTGCATTTTGCAGCTCATTATGACTTAATAGCCGACCTCCAATGATTCAAGTATTCACCTTGCTGCAGGAGTGCAGACCACATTTAAACATTTACATCAGTGCCACTGCCAAGTTTGACCCATTCCGAAAAACCACTGGTTTCACTTCATATCAGTCCAGCTCATTTCAAAGTATATGTTTACTTATTGTTGGTTACCAGGACTTTGAGCTGTGATTACATTTGAGTGCAATGCTTTAGCAGCAGACTCTCTTTTAATGCACCACCAAGGAGACATTTTAAAATGGTCTTTGCTTGCAGGAGGTTGTATTTTTCAAATTCTGGAGAACGTTTTTGCAGTTATTAAACCCAGAGAGTGGAGAGCTGGCAGGGAATGAAGAGAGAGAGATGGGGGGGAAATGAAATGCCCTTGCCAAATTTGAACATGGGACTTTGGGACTAAATGGCTTCTGTCTCAAACCTCGAGGCCACCAGGATTTTGATAACAGCATCCCATTTGGAACAAGTTTTAAACCCCTGTTGTACTAAAACGGAAACCAGTGAATGTCAGGAAAATTACGTGTGAATGGCTGAATAACTGGTAAAATGGAAAGTCCTTTGGCTGACAAGACAGAGTACTATTTACAGGAAGTGCGGGTTATTTTTATTCATCCATTATGACAACATTGGACAAAATAAAACAGTATATTTACCCAAGTACTGCCATTAGGTATAATTTTGTGGTACTTGTACTTTACTTGCGTGTCTCCATTATTTTTTTTCTCCATGACATGCACTAGATGTATTCAAGGACATCTGATAATAACAATAATTTAAAAAAGCATTTAAATTTAAATTTGTCCGATATCCCTCTTAAAGTCATCTTCTTGTGCAGCAGTACACCGCTCCTTATGCTCCTGCCGTGTTTGAAACTTCCTGGACGTACTGTTCTGTGAGTATGTGAAGCAGCGCTGTGTCAAAACAACGTTCCTTCAACTTGAACTTTATTTTGGGAACGAGAAAGAAGTCGTGCCACAGCTCAGGACATTTTTTTTTTTTTTGCCGAATATAATCTCTCAGTCGCCTCAGGATGTTACAGTAGAACCAGGTTTGACAGTCCAACCCAGGGAGACTATTAACGGTGCACAACCCTGTAAATGTCAAACAAAGCAACAAATGGCCGCAGTTTCTCCATGAAAGAAAGCTGTTTGGTCTCTGGGTTGCAGCCGGAGATCCAACTCTTGTAACCGGTGATGATCCTCAACATTAAGGTCGAAATAGTTTCACATCGCGTTCGACGTTTCCTCTCAACACAAGTTCGACGTCCAGAGAAAGTTCAAACCATGGCAGGAGCACTGGGAGCTGTGTATCACTGCACAAGAAGATGACCTCGAAGGAGAAAGCAGGAACATTTTTTGCTTCCAATAGGGGCAATCTGGGAACTTCTTCACCACACCTCATATCAGATCGATGGGGTAACTTTTCAGATGAGGATTTAAAATTTTAAAACATGACAATGACCTTAAAGAACACACTACACGGGCATGTCTTTGTCAAATCACATTTTCAATATTTCTAGAGTTATTAGAAGACCCATAAAAAGACATTTAATCTCTAAACTTCTCAGGAGTTTTATTTTCATAACTTTTTGTGACCTAAAGAGATTATTTTCTAGCATGTCCCAAGGAAAGCAAATTCACATCCCAGAGAGTGAATCACATGTATTGCATAGCAGAACTTTGTTTTTTGTTCTTTCCTTCCCAATAAATCATCAGACAACCCCTCAGATTTATCATGACCAGGTTCAAGTCCCTGAAGTTGGGAAACACTGGACTTAACAACCTTGACTATACATAAAGAAGAATACACATAAAAATGGAACTCCGTCACAGCAAACACTTTTCTGCAAAATAAGTGCTTCAACATTTCGATAAATTAAGTATTATTACTTCTGTACTTTTGTTTAAGCTGAACAGGACTGGTACATTTAATTAAGTACTTTTGCGCTGTTGATGATTTGAAAACTTATTTCTGCAATTAGTCAGGGCAATAATAATCAATTAGAATATACATAATAAAGACAGGTTACCCCCAAGCAAGTTAGAAATGCCCAACGGAACAAAAGCGTAACTACACAAAGAGATTTGCATCTAGTAAACCATTATCATGTAGATTGAAGCGATGACGCATCTGATAAACAAACATTGTGACAATTAGTCACTGTGAAAGAAAGCTGGTGTTTGGCAGCTAAAATGAAGGATGCTGACAGAGCTTCACTGAAATATTAAAATGGTCTTCACAGCTATTGCATTAGGCAGATTGAAAAATTAGTGCAGCGGGATCCTCGTCTTCTGCTTCAGGCAACACAAGCCTCCGTAGGTTTCTTTTATTTTTTTAGGACACATGCAGACACAAACATAAAAACACTCTTAGAGGGGGTTGCCTCTTCTAGGAAATGCCTGAGGACTCAGAGCTGAGACAGCGATGACTTTTACTGTAATCTAATGCATGTGTGTGTGGTCGGGTGGGTGGGAGAGAGAAAAAAGCAGGAGGATGTAAAAAGAGTGTGACAGCAAAGTGGACAGAGCAGAAATACTGAGCGAGGAGGAAACAAAGTACAGGAGCAGAGGCCACAGAGCTTGAGGGACTTTACTCTCCTCTTTGGAAAAAAAAAACAAGATCGAAAAAAAAGCAGAAGCATGCACAGCATTAAAAAACTTCCTGAGGCAATTTAGGACGGTTTTCCATAATTGGATGCACTTGTTAGTTTCAGCATCTCACCTGGAGGCGGAAATCTTTATCCCAACTACTCAAAAAAATAATTACCTAAATAAAAGGATCAACAGGTGAGTGTTAGTCTATTTCTCATCCTCTGGCCTGCATACCTCCACAATATGTTTCAGCACAAAAGACAGAGAAACTCTACTGAGTTCAAGGTTGGGATTTTTTTTTTTTTTAGCGCAGCTCAACCACTTTGAATAACCAAGCAAGCGTGGCAGCTAAATCTGTCTGTGTTTGATCAGGCTTACTCATCGCAGCAAGCTCAATGTCATCGTGTATCGCTGACTAGTTTCTCACATTTAAAATTTAAGACACTTAAAAAACCCGTGTGGAGAAGGATTCGAGGGAAGTCTGGCGGAGTTGGAGTGGAGTTGAGGATTCACGACTTGTGACTAAGGAATGTCTTGACATTTCAAATACAGACAGGTTCTGACAACATGAGCATCTGTCGGCTGAATTCAAAATGTCAGTGAGTAACTTTAAAGAGAAAAAAAAGCCACCCTCAATTTCTAATGCCTGTCATGTTCAGCAAATTGTAGAAGTCATTCTGTTATTATGAATTTGACCTTTCTGGGTTGAACACTTACCATCAGTCTGCGCCCTCGACCTCAGTTTCCCCCATTTTGCAAAATTTCCTTCCACAACTACAGACGGGTGACAAAAAAAACAACCCTGAACCTGTGACCCCTACAGTGAGGGGGATGTGGTGACTCAGTAACGTTGCATTTTGCTCCCATGGTTTGCTGCAAATCAGTCCAAAATTGTTCAGAGCGATCACCTTTACCCTGTGATGAAACATTTCTATTGTAATGGTGGTGGTCTCGTCAGTGGCTACAATGCCTTCATTCACAGGGCAGAGAGGGTCACTGGATGGTTTATTGGGGATGAAAATAATGTGAATCAGATGCTAGAGCATTTACAGTCACCAGATTTCAACTCAACTGAACATCTCTGGGTGTTTTGAACCGATGTGTTGGACAGACCTTTACAACAGGATCATCAAAACATCAAACGAAGAACGTCTTTTGGAAAACTGCTGTTCAATCCCTATCACAGAGCTCAGAGACTTGAAGAATCAATACCAAGACACAATAAAACATGGCTATTTGCTCGTTACTTGCCTGTATCTGAATCAATAATTGTGTTTACATGCACACCAGTATTGCAGGTAAGAACCTTCTCTCAGTTTCGATCATATTTAGGATATGCTGTTTGCTGGTTACTACCTGGTTACTAAATGTAAGCCTAATCTTAAATTAATCTGACTTTAGACGCCAAAAACAAGGCGTACAGCTGGCTTAGCACTATTACATGTCAACATCGCATTGTGGATTTGGTTTATCTGCCTTGTTGCCAGCAATGAGAGACAAGAGCACCAGAAAATATGAAACATGGATAGGGTCACCATGATGTGCAGTGGAGTGACACAAGGGAACATTTCTGGGTTAAATAGACATCATTTTACCAGCTGTGAGAAATAAAGTGAACATAGCGTTGCACTAACTGGACAGTTGTAGGGAATATTACTTGGTTACTAACCAGTTTGAAAGCACAGTGATGAGTTGAGGTGGACAAAGCTATGAGCTGCTTCCAAAAAAAGAGAGAAAATATCGAAATAGTTTATGTTCCTGTTGACTGACGCTCCACTAACATATTCTTTATGTTTGATCCATGGTTTTTTAAATCAGATATGATGTCTACATTCCCAAACACAAAAACGGGACTCTTTAAAAACCCTATAATAAGCAGGATATTGATGTTCAGGTAAAAGCATTTGCACTTAAGCTGTTCTGCCAATACAAGGACACCCAACAATTTACTAAGACACTTTAATTTGTCAGCTGTCTTGTAAATCAACAGGAGCAATTAAAGTCTGGCAAATAAGGACAAAGATATTGTTTACTAATGAACGAGGTGTACTTCACTTTTATGTCTCCATCCTGTTGTTCTGAATGTAGAAAATGGACAAATGCTCTCACGAGAACCTATACTTTGGTAGTTCATAATAATATATAATAATTAAGAACTGAAAACTGTACTTGTTTTCTATGGAACTGAAGGTATCAAAAGTAGTGCAGGTGTTAAAGGGAGCCTACTGGACATTGTGATGGCAAGTCAAGGGTCAACAGGTCCGCTTAGACTTTGGAAAAAAAAACCCTCTAAAGTTGTGTGAGAGAAATTTGTGTTTGAGTCGATGATCAGGGGCAAGTTATAGACAACTAAACGTCAGAGAACAAACAGTGTCAAAGAGGAAACACCTCAAACTTACTGCAGCACCTCAAAGTCAGACAACCAGATGTGAACACAGAATTCAAGCCGACAGACTTTCAGGTGTTCCTCTCTTATAACAACATGCCGTCACAGCATTTGCATCTTGAATCATTTGCTCCACACCCAGCGCTCACAAAGGCTAACTTAGCTCTATTAGGCAATCGTAGCAATAGCTCAAATGTTAGCTGGGCGCTGCTGATAGCGTTACTGTTCAACATATATCGGTGTGTGTAAGTGTGCAGCAGCCTCTGTGGTTTTCATTAAGCTACACCTGATAACTCAAATCTCCTAACAGGTTTCCTACAACATCAGCACAAAGAGAATTTGGAGCGGGAGACCCAACACACAACACACAACACACACACACACACACACACACACACACACACACACACACGCACGCACGCACACTCACATCAAAGTCTTCACGAGGAAACTGGATGAGTGAGTTTCAAACCACCATATTGTTTGTTGTAAATGACTGAAGGCTACATTCCACTGTCCAAAGTTTTTGATATACTTATCACACCAAGGCTGTTTATTATTTGCATTCTTTTTTTTTCATATATCAGGCAGCTTGGCACTGCGGCAGCAACACTACGCCACCATAAAAGAGCTGAAATGTCTTTTTTTACTATTATTATTACTTTAAGGCTGCATCCCTGAGTAAAAACTTTCATTTTACTGGTGTATTTTTTATTTATTTTTTGCTGTAGTAATAACTTGGTATCAAGAATCACAGAATTTTAGTGGTGTTGAATACTATTCTGCTGAACTTATTTATTCTCGGCCCACCCGCACCTTAAATGACACCTCATGCGAAAACTGTAATTCTGTTCCTTATTTATTGGTGTAGCGTCACCTTGCATTTCTGTATCATTTTAGTACCTTATGTACATTGTCAACACGAGTTTACTTTTTATTCTTTCTCTCAGCATACTCTATTTCTATCCTGTTTTAATTACCACATGGCTGCTACAACTATTGTACAGTTGCTGGTACCGGTCTATGTCCAACTGCTCTACGTGTCTTTGAACTGCACCCAAGGGACAAACAAAGTTTTTTGAATGTAACTGAAAATCTTGACATTCCTACGATTGATGATTCAAAATTTGGAAATATCTGGACTCAACCAGGAAATTTCTCACCAAACATAATGTAAGTCATGCTTCTAGCACAAAGATCAAAAGCTGTAGCCGTCTATGCACCAGTATCTGCCTCACCATGCTGCTGTTGAGATTCTTCTCCACCTTGCAGAACGTGTGCGGTGGCGTCTCCCCCTTGCTCGGGATGATGATGCAGATGTCGGTGACGGCCAGGGCGGCGTGCGGTTGGCTCTCGGGCGCCCGGCGGTAGGTGACGTAGATGCGCTGGGAGGAGTTCCCGCTGATGTTGGCCGGGCGGCCGGAGGGCGTGGTCTGGATGAGGTGGCAGCCCTGCTTCAGCCGCTCCTTCCACTCGTACAGAACGCTGCGGGAGGAGGCAGAACAAAGTGGTCAGCCAAACAAAACACCACATCAACGTGTAGCTGTTTGTTGTGATTACCGTGTAGAACTCATCGATAAAATTTACTGTTATTATCTCGGCGGGCCAATTAGGTGAAGTGCTACATTTAAATCTAACATTGGGCATTTGTCCCAGTTTCCAGCAGCTGACAGCACGGAGCTGATTATTCTGCTCTGAAAAACCAATAAGAGATCTATGAGCTGATAAAGTGCAGTAACAGTGCAGCTCAACTTCAAACTCAGAGCCACTTTTAACCTCAGTAACTTAAGTTGTGTTGTTTTTAGCAAAGCTCTGTTAACACACCAGTCCAGAGAGAAACTTGGAGACTCTCCTCCCACATGTACAGTAGGTCATCCATATGGAAGCCATTTACGCAGTTTATTTGTGACACTGTAATCCTACCTGTTGGAAAAACACTGACAGTCCATATCAGGCAACAATAACATGCCAGCTCACATAAATAAACAGCACAGGAATCCAACGCAGCCAAGTGAGCTACAACTGCATCCAAACCTGAGTATAAAATTGCTCCCTTGTTTCCTTTTGTACGTGGGTATTCCTGTGGAAAGTTTGTGATGGACATGAAGTTGGATGGGCGCATACTGTATGATGCTGGATTAAAACGAAGCACAAATTGAGTATGTTTGTTCCTACGCACTCCTTGTCGACTGATTTTCTTTTCTTTATGCAATGACTGTAATGCTGTTCTGGGTTAATACGCTACGACTAACAGCGTACTGTACCATGAGGACTGTGAGATAAACAGGAACGCAATATTAGCCGTAAACTAGTTCAGTGTTTTAATAGGGGATAAAAGCTATTTTGACTTAGATGCTCAAAAAAAAGAGATTTTAAACTGAAAAGACTATGCATGATAAATTAAAACACTTCTATCTGTGTATAAAAGCAACTTTTAAGCACATGATCTTTATTATAATTTTGAGAACTGTCGTGTTCTAAAGTACACGTGCACATTACCACCAAATGTATATTTAGTTCAGTCGATGAGGCTTTCCGCTGCAGGAACTCGGGGCAGGTGCAAACATTTACAGGGATGACTCGTAATCAGCTCTTTTCTTTGAGCTACATCAACTCTGCATGCACCAAAACAATGACAAACAGGAGACGCTGGATGTAACTCAATTTCTATGAAGAATGTTGGAGGTTTGCTCTGTTACAATCCGACAGTCCGACAGACCACAAAGTGACTGCAGGAAGAGAGACCTGGCTGCAGCAGAGCCAAAGTGACGCATCTAATTTGTTTTGCGATGATCAGTCAATAAAAATAGGGATACCAATCATCTAAAAATGTCAAATATCGGCATCAATAACGGGTTACGCTGGAAATTAGTCAACCCCTAGTCCTGTGGGTTGTGGGGTTCAGGCTTGCTACAGAGCAGCCTGCAGAGTCTGGTTGCCGGGCCGACGTCTTGAGCTCTTGGTCATGTTCCTCAAGCTGTTATAGAGCAGTTTCTGCAGTGCGGCAGGTCCATTATCCTGCTGCAAAGAGGGAGGCGATCATCATCTCATAGTGCCATTAACATCGAGGGAATCCTTTGTGTGCAACAATGTTTTGGTGGGTGGTTTATGTGAAGTCCACTCTAATGCAGGACCAAAGGTTTCCCTGGCAGAACACTGCATTGTAACAAGATGCTCAATGTTATTCACTTGTCCGTGGTTTTAAATATAGATAGAGGTGTTTTTGCTTGCATTGAAACAGGACAATCTCTTTAGATCAAAATGTCTGTTTTAAGCATCCAAGCCAAAACTGTTTAGTCTCCAATTAAGACTTCTTGGAAATTTCAATTGAAAATTGAAACCATTTCTGACCCCTTTTGGGATTTGGTGAATCCCACAGTCCTCATGTCCAGTGTGCACTGTTACTCATACATATTAACCCATACAGCATTACAGTTGGGCACAAGAGGACCCTTGAACAAAGCACTTAGAGGACACGAGTTGAGGTACGTAACAGTGGCAGTAATTTTAAACATCCCTCTTTGTACTTCCATTATGCACTTATCCTCCATTACTGTTTCAAGTGAACTCAACAGGCATTTTGTGGCACTATCTGAAAGCTGAAAAGAGAGCAGAATTTAAAGTGGTCATCTGTGGGATGGTTTATAGTCTGTTTTTCATTCCGGCGCTCAGCACATCCCTCTCTGCTGCCGTTATATCAGAGCTCGTTTTTGTCGCTGCAGTCCTTGCCATCAGCCCAGCGCTGTTGACATCCATCCTTTATTGACAGTACCACCAGTCCTGTAGAATTTCAAACTGCCCTTTGTGTTTGCTAAATTAGACCTTGAATAGACCTCTCCAAACAGATGGAGTTGTGTAAGGAGGTCAAAGCTTTGCACAGCATTTTGCAGAGGAGCTGGTCTTTATTTCAGCTGAGGTGTCTCACCTCCGTTAGAAAACAACGTAATAAAAGACTAAAAGATTCATTAAATGACACATTAATGTCACTGCTCATCATATTCCTCTCTAGCGCTCATTACAAACCTTTTCACGGCAGATATTTTGACACTTCAAAGCAGGAGAAGCACAGGTGTAATTACCAACATCAATAATAATTGCATCCCTTTAGGATAGCCAGATTCAGGGCTTGGATTGTACAAGCTGGCACACTGGAGAGGTGCAGGGATTAATTAATCAGCTGCCAACTATTAAATTAATAGCCAGTTATTTTGATAATTGATTAAGGGGAAAAAAATCTAAATTCTCTAATTCCAGCTTCCTAAAGTTGAGCATTTTCTGATTCTTTCCTCCTCTGTGACAGTAAACAGAATATCTGAACTACTATTTTCACTGTAGTTTAATCTGTTAGTTATTTTCAAGGTTAATCGTGTAGTTTTTTTGGGTCAATAAAATGCCCATAAATGGTGAGAATGTCAATCAGTGTTTCCTTAGAGGACTCTGTCAAATCTGTTGCTTTGTCCACAACACAAAGATATTCAGTTTGCTGTCACAGAGGTACAAAGAAACTAGAAAGTATTCATGTTTAAGTTGCTGGAATTGGGCTTTTTTTCCTTTAATAATGAATACAAACAACTAATCAATTACAAAATAGTGGACAATTAATTTAATAGTAGAAAACTAATTGATTAATTGACTCATTGCTACAGTTCCACATTGCTGGATGAGCAACAATTTACAATCACAAGGAGTCATAAGTAAATATGCATGTCAGTGACGACTACATCTGCACACTAAACCCCCCACACTCAGCCCTTGGCTTCCCATTAGTCCTACCAGCGTCTGGGAAGTGCAGCCCCTCTGGGCTATCAGCACACCAAAGCTGCTGATACTGTCTGAGCACAGTCTCTGTGTCAGTGCCTGATAAGCACTGCACTCTGTAGTGTCAGAGGCCAGCATGAGCCTCCTTAGCATTGTCACCACCTGCCTCTGCCAGCCGTAGGTGTGGAGCGACTGAATAAACAGTATTGAATTTACACAGTTCAAAAGACGTTGCTGAGGATGACACCTGTAACTGTGCTTCACTCTCACTTTTTGTTGCAGAAATCACAATGGGGGAACGGTTGCAAGGCAGACGGAAAGCGCCCGCTGGGGAAAACCGCTGCACGGGCCGATTTTCAGGCACAGCGAAGCACTCGCTGCGCTTCACTTTCTACCTTTTCTCACAATAACAAGGAGCAGGGTGGTAAGCAGAAAGCTGACAGAAACAGAAACAGCAAGCACAATGTTTGCTGATAGCAACAGTCGATCATTACTACGAGTGAGGCAAATAATGGAAACTGCTACATGCTGTAATACACACATAAATAACATCACCATATGGGTTAGGTGGGCTCAGACTCAGTGCACTTCATTGCAGTGATTCATTTCAGTTGTCTGGAAAATTCATTGAAGCCGGGCCCCTCGTATATTTAAAGGGAGTAGCTGAAAGTTCAGCAAAAATGAAATGTGAATCAGTGCATGTTTCCATCAGCCACCTTTGCATTCTGGAGTCAATGAAGCAGAAGCAGGTGCTGCATTCTCAAAGTGCAAATGTAAAAATGAATTTCTATCTCTCTTTCTCTGCTCCAGTATTCACTGTTTCTATTTCACCGTTCAAAGAAGAACAACCCCGAGGACGACATTTGTAGTTTTTAGTGAAATAACCAAACGCTACCGGGTGGATTTTCTTGAAATTTGCTACAGATATTTACAGTATGTTTCCCTCAGGAGGAACTGTTAGAACTTAATTCCGTCACTTTCATGTAGTTTCATCATCCTTCCAACCCTTTTCTGCAGCTTATCCCCTTTTTCCAGGCGAGCCACAATATTCCATATATTGTGGTTGTATAAAACACTTAATCTGGCCTCTTTCCTGACTAGCATCATTTTAAGGTCAAAGTTCTTTTTTTTCTTGTTTTTAAGTATGATGTCAAGTAGGCGTGGAAGATCTGATCAAAACATGATCATCTTTATATGATCAGTCTATGAAAATACGATTTAGATTACATGATGATCTTTAGGAGAAGAATTACGATCCATGATCTCAATCACAATTCTCCCCACAGATTTAGTTGAACTCATGTGATTGGTTGTACATATGGCTGATCACTGTACTTCACGGCTACAGGCCCGCCTCACAAATCTCTGCAAGCTGTTTTTATTCTAATTGTAGTCTGCAAGTTCTGACCATTAGTGGTTAGTGCTGAACAATTAACTATTACAGACACTTGCAGGATGGTTAAGTGCAATATCCGAATCGCCGGAGCTGCAATTTCTTGATAAGGGTAAAACTGTCACAACACATCATTATAAATGAAGCACTGTGGCGCAATAGAGACGCACTGGCCTATGAATTATACTCTCCAGATGTAAAGGAGTGTACTTGGCTTGGGAGAGACCACGGCATCGTTTTTATTACCTTAATATTTTGTTTTTTTGGTGGAAAAGAAAATCAAGAATTATCATTTCTATTTAAAATTGTGGCTGGTGTTACAATCTTTATCCAAATAATCACCGTATTACGGTTTATTTTGCATATTGCTCAGGCCCAGAAGTGATGGCTGGTATCTTTGCTGCTCTGACGCTTCTTTCAGTCAATCAGCCACTCGTCTTTGTCCACCATGATGCCTTCTGTTTACAAAATAAGCTCCCAGTTCACTGTTGTGGCAATCCTCGGTGTCACTCAGACGCCTCCCTAGTTAGTTCCTTGCCCGATGGACAGACTCCAATTTCTCCGCCTTGGACTGCAGCTGACAGTTTGCCATCTCATCACAGGCAGATTTTATGGCATCCTTGTGCTTCTCTGCAGCCTCAGTGATTTTAGTGTAGCAGCACAAGAACCAGTTGGGGTCAAAGACTGCGGAGCTGGAGTCCATCTTTAGATGAGACACTAACTGAGGAGGCAGCTGAACAACATGGAGGACCATCACAGCAGTGACTTGGTCCGCAGGGAGGGAAACACGAGACGGGACGGGGCTAGCTGGTTAGCAGCGACTGAAGTGAACTGAAAAGTAGATCATATGTCAAATTAAAGTCCTTCACGATGTCAGTTAGCCCACTCCTAATGACAGATTTGCGGTTTTTGGTTTACTGGATGCACTCCAAACTAACAACACTCCAATCAATGTCAGCTGCATTTTGTGCTAAAACAGCAAGTTTTACATTGACAAAATTCTAAACTAAGATGCCAGAAGTCTTAAACATTTTACCTGCTAAACATCAACATGTAGTATCATCATTGTGAGCATGTTAACACACTGACTTAACCAACTGCCGCAACGCTCCACTGTGCCGAAATACTGAATCATAGAGCTGCTAGTCATGTTGGACACTAAGGTAGCCCTTCAATATCTATACTACCATTTAGTATTACCTAATACAGAGTATGCCAAATGCTGTATGCCAAACATACCAGGATGTCTGACTGCATCTAGTCGGATATTACTTTTCTGCCTATTCTGACCCACAACCCTCTTTGCAGTGACGCGCAGTGTCTCACACTGGTATATACAAGCCACCACGTGTGCACAGACAGATGACTGCTGACTTCGCACTACAGACTGTTTGGTCATAGTTAAAGGCACTATATTCTGGCTTGGGGGTACTTTCTGATTGTATGTGTTAAAGCCTCTGGTGTTTGTGCCATGTTGTGATGTGATGTGGTGGATCCCTTGTGAGCCCGGTGTAGGGAGAGGAGTGGCATGAACACTGCTTGGTTTTATTTGGTTCTTTGATTCAGCAGCACCCATTAGCCCGATTTATTTGTATTATCATAGGTTTTGTTGGGTTTTTTTTATTTTTTTTTTTATGTGCATTATGTTACTGAGCAATAAATTGCTTTACCTCAACCAAATACACCTGGTTTTTGTTACATCCAGGTGACCCTAGAGGCTGGATCATAACAGTACTGAATGAAACAGTACTTTGTGAGGCCAACTGAAGTAGGTATTTAAAACTAAACAAAAACGTATGCAGCCTTTATAACAGTTTTCGGTTGCCTTGTTTGTACACAAAACACTCCAGAAACAAAAAATCAAGAATGCTTCTGTTCTTACCCCAGGTCAGTGAGTGGTGGCTTGTCGCGGCCTCGCCTGTAGCACAGGAAGATCTGCGGCGCCATGAGGCCTCCATTGTTGAGATCAGCCGACTGGCCGCTCGGTGTCGTCTCTATGCAGGTGAACCCCGGCGGCGCCTCCTCGCCCATCGAGCGGATCACCACGGCCACATCGGTGATGGGCGCCTTAGGTTTGGCCGTCTTGTGGCAGACATCATCAAAGTGGATCTCCTGGTCCAACGGCTTGGACGGGTCCGTCAGACCGGCCACCACAAAGTAGTCGGCTACACGAGGGCCTTTGTCCTCCATCATTTCCCATCCCCGCCGACTGCTTTCAGAGGGAAAGAGGAAGAGAGGGACACAGGGAGGGAGAGAGAGACAAGCAGGGGAGATTAATTTTCGTTGTGGTAGCAGGTACAGCCGGATCTTGCGTCCTTGCAATGGCAGTAAAATAAAAAAATCTGACAGTCATAAATCTTACTGAGAGGAGGCCAGTGGAAGGGCAAATGGAAAAAAAGAGGGTAAAAATGTGAGCAGAAGAGGGTATATGATTAGGCATCAGGCAGCCATTTGCAGTTTGGGTAGTTAGCAGACGGTCTTTGACCGGACTGACTTCAGGTCACGTGATCAGCTGAAGGTTCAGCGTCCTGGCTCAAGGACACACGTGGCTCTGATGAGGACAGAACATCGCTGGTGTTGAGGGTTTTGAACCTTCCTCTATTTCTGAGGAGTGAAACAGCCCAGTTAAAGCCTGGCTGGCTTCACAGACCTGAGTGTGCATTTTAAAGAGGGAGCAGCGAGGTGTTTCTTCACACTTAACATTCTGCCTCAATTACATTCCAGTCCCACATTAAAAGTCTGAGCTTAGAAGCCTTGTGATTTCATGGAGCCTATTAGGAAGCGTGATAAACGTCCAATACTAGTTTTCTTAATCTTTCCTAAGAAGGTCGTGTCCTCACCGCACAGCATCATCTGTACTTACTGAAGAAGCAAAGGCTGACAGGTACACTGACATGGTTGAGTAATCAAGTCAGCACTACAGCCTGAGGTGTCACTTTCAAGAGGAAAAAATAATGAAAACAGGCCTTTTATATACGATAAAGAAAATACCCTCTGTAAGTGACAAATTGTGGAGGAGTAATCATCTTGAACACTACTACGAGCACTAATCCCCACTGAAACAAAAGCTGGAAATGACTTTCATCAGCTGCAGATGTGTTTGTTTCAGACAAGCAACAGTTGAAAGGGTGTGTCTACAAGAGATCAGTCTGAGTAACAAGATCAATATTTTATTATAACACAATGCACATTCTGGGCTCAGTCTCACAGCAACAAAAGGTTGATGAAGAGAAGAGCAGCATCTCTCAGTGTACTGCTCCGTTATAGACACAAGTAAGTACAGAACATCATGTGGATAGAACAGCTGCACGGTTGATAACACAAACCAGCTCAGATCGATATTCGGTGAGAATCTGCCTGCAAAACACATTCAACTGCAACAGACAAGGTCACAAGAAAGAGATCAGTGCCGATACAACATTGAGCAGGTTGTAATTTTCCATCAGGGTGAACCTCCAAACAACATGAGTACTGCACATGTTCTGTTACAAAAACACAGGGCAAAGCCTCTGTGAGGAGAGCCGGTACATCTTAATGTTCAGCGCTACTTTGATCCAGCTCTTAACTGCCGGTCGTTTGCTGCGTCACGATCGCTGTGCCTATTTCAAGAAAACAGGAATCGGGAGCACTGAGGTCAGAGTGTGAAGCAGTACAACAGATTTCCTGGATTGATAAAGATGCCACAACAGTATTTGTGGACATCTGTTCCGGCTGAACAGCTGTTTCCAGCAGCTGGAACGACACAGTAAAGAATTCCTTCAATCAGGTAGATCGGTTACAACGATGATTTTGATATCAAACCGCTGTGAAGAGATTAATAATACTTACTGTGGAAGACTGCAGTTTGTCTGCTGTGTTTAAAACCTGGGATGCTATTTAACTTGTGCCATTTAATTTGGAATTTAAGTAACCGGGTGTTGACTTTGTCTGTTCTTATGAAACAAAGCCAAGTTTGTAGAGAAAATTAAGTGTCAGTGGTTAAAAATTGTTTAAGCAGCATATGGAAAAACATCCAGCGTATTTTATTGATTTCAACCATACATTATTCAGTTAAAGAACTATTTTTGAAACTTTGCATCCCTATGAACAACACTATATGAATATATGAATTAATCTTAAATCACATTCAATCATGCTTGATCTCACCTAAATATTAGGGTTTTAGAACAGAATATCCTTTATTAGTCCCACAAAGGGGACATTTGCAGCAAAGCGACAGTAAGAAAAGCAAGAAAACACAACTATAAATGAAAGAGGCGAGGTATATATACTATATATAGTATATATAGTATATAAATAAGAAAAACAGAAGGACGCAAGGACACTAAGAGCACAGTAATGTTGTAATGCTGAGAGCAGATAAACTTCTAACTGCTGCCCTTTTTGCCTGTGTTATTTTTTTGATCCATCAACATTACGGTCTTAAGCTATAAGCCTGATGTGACGGTATTCTCCTGATGTCTTCTTGGCAAAGCAGGTCTCAATTTTGGATAAAAGTCAAACTGGCAAATGGCTAAAAGCTTGCTTTACGTCAGATTTGGGGTTTTTTGGGGGGCGTGTGGTGGTTAAAAGTCTCCGTCGGCCTCAGTGACACTGAAGCCTCCAGGGCATGAGTGTGTTTCTGTGGGTTCAAATGAAACTTTACCCCCTCCAGCACTCTGACTCGTCTCCTGGTCAGTTGCATCAAAATACAAGACGACATTGGGTTCACTGCAGCTGAAATCAGACGGTGTAAGAAATGTTTAAAAATACTACAAATGCTAATGCCGAAAACAAAATTTGACTTACTTACAGGGGATGTTTTATTTCCCTAAAAAAAAAAAAAAACATTCCCAAGTGTGCGTCACAGTCTGTGACAGTTTCTCTTCCAGATACCAGATTTCATTGCAACCAGATTTGGTAATCCAAAAGGTTTTTCTCAATTTAATTGTGAATAATTCAGCTGGACAAGGCCTGTGATTCTAACCATATGCCGTAAGAGGGTGTGGGAAGAGAGCTTTAATTAGCAGGGTGTGTTAGCTCGTCTAAATGCGTTGGCTCAGGGGAAAGGTGAAAAAAGCTGCCAACTTTAATCTGCATGATGCTACGAGAGCAAGACTCCAGCTGCCATCACAGCCACATAAAACACCGTAAGTACCTCCGTTTATTCACCTCATCATGAGAGACCATTATAAGTCAAGAAGAGATCACAGACACAAAATCTTCCTCTACTCTGACCTCTACCAATGACTTGCCTACATCTGCACATCATTTGTCCTTTGTGCTGTGATGTTGACACATTTCCCTGTGCAGCATGTTGCTGCTATTGACTGACATGAAGCACAAACATAAAAACAGCAAAATTATCTTAATTATCAAATCATGCAGGCTGAAGATTTTGTCAGTAAGGCAGCAGGCGGCAGCAGATGGAACTAAATCCCATGTGTTTCTGTTTTCTTCATTAACAGGGGCAGATTTTTATTTTTTTAATCTAATGAGTGGTTCTGTCTGCTTATCTGTTTTGGACACATTTGATGGCAAAAAGCTGGGTGTTTATTGGTATAATAAGATGATCTTTGCGGGGTCAATGAGCCAAGCTTACACCCAAACAAAAGAGTGATGTGCATGTCTTTCTTTGGATGTCCCTTCCAGCTATTGACAGATGGTGAGAAAACGCCGGTTCACTGTGTCCTGGCTCTTACGCTCAGATTACAAATGCATCTCACCTCATCATTTCGACACTGTGGGAAACCAATGAGAAGACAGTCACAGTGCAGGGAGCTGATTCTGAGCCAAGTGATGTCTGGCCAGCTGTGATAAGACAGAAAGTGGACCCAGGCCTCTAGCAGATCTGTTCCTCACATATTATCAAGACTTCCACACATAATCCTGTCCAGAGCTGCACTATTAATTGAATACTAATCACAGTCATGATTTTGGCTTCTCACAAGTTCAAGATCAACTGCGATATTGATGTTTGCAATGCAACGCTCACAGAAAACAGCCTCTTTAGATAAAACCATTTGGTTTCACCTTGGCTATTTACACCTCAGGTTATACGTCTACTACACATGCACACAGTTTCACGACTACACGCTTGAGTCAGTGCAACAATGCAATCGACTGGATGTTTTTCGAGTCTGGCTGTTGCAGAGCAGACCACTGGTCTGTGGGGGGTGGAGAAGCAGGACTTGAGTCATACAAGCACCATGTTGTGTGTTAAAGAAGTCTCCCACAGATTTCTATTTAGGATTCTTGAAACGTAGAGTTTCTCCTTCACATACGTCTCTGGAACAGCTTCCTTACAGACTGCCAAATGTAGCAAAACCAGCTTCTCATGCAGACCGAGCGAGCAGCGATGCATCAAAGTGCTGAGAAGGCACAACAGTGTGAAACATCCATCTGCTGTATCAGCCCATGGATTTTTCATGCACAGATCATCGCTGGATTCCCTCACAGAAGCTGCATCCAAAAGATTCAGAGCTCTGACTGTGAAAGTGAAAGAAAGTGGTGCTCGGTTTATTCAGATGGAAAGAGCAGTAAAAATGTTTTGTCCCTAAAAATCGGTTAATAATCATGATTTAAATACTGATCAAAATAATTGTGATGATCATTTTGGCCATAGTTGTGAAGCTCTGTTAAATCCACCTTGATACTAGCTATGCTTCTGTGATTATTAGCTAGCCAAATTCGTTAACCTTCTGAAACCAAAGCAGTTTCTGAACGTATCATATATTTGCTAACTGTGGGCTTATCTTTCACTGCAGTATAACGTCCTGTACTTCTTTGGAAGCGTAACCACGGCTGGAAGTAGAGCAAATTTTTTAAAGACTTGAAAAACCTGTGGACTGCAAGGTGAAGCAGTGGTTAGCACCGTTGCCTCGCAGCAAGAAGGTCGCCAGATCTTTCTGTGGGGAGTCTCCATTGAACTGCATCCATTTCATTGATCAAATCTGTTTTATTTTGCTCTCAATCCTTCTAATTTGTTCCCATACTCGTCTCCTCTCTCTCTGCAGTTCAGTCAAATGTCACCGAATTTTTGCTACTTGACTATTAGTTGCAGCTGAGTTAATCACTGCATCTAAGTTGTGTCAAGCAATGCAGATTTTTATTTTTTCTCTCATAATGTGGTTACTGCAAATGCATTATTTCTGGCAAATTTCTAAATTTCTAAACCTATTTTGATGAAACATCCCATTTTTAAGCTTGGATTAGGTTAATTTTCTCAAAGGG